AAGGCCCCGATAGAAATCTTCGTCTTATTCCTTGTTTTGTTATTAAGGATTTGAGAATCATAACGAGACCTTTTTCAGTTCTGCGGCTTGACATTTTACTTCACCAGTGACATTAACTCAACGCGGTGAGTTCTGGCAACCCGGATAACAGACATCGAAATGAAAACAATAACAACATTTACGGGCTGTAAAACTAATTTAGAAAATTCCTTTTATGTTTGGGCACATTTTCCCCCTTGGTTTTGCGTCTTATCTTTATTAGTCCAGGTATTTTTGGGTTTTATAATTTTTGTAAGCTTGTTTTTTTAAGTATATTTTATAGGTTACATTTTTGTTAATATTTTGCCGCTCAGGCCGGGAGTATAAGAAGCACTGTCCTGGTGCACGCCCCTCTCTGCTCTCAGCCTCTTTGGTAACACCCGCTGAGGTGAGCGTTCACGCGCTGCACGCGTGAGCGCTCTTGGTCCCGTTTGTGGCCTCCTCAGACGCCGCATGGTTTGGTTATTTTAGCCATTTGTTAGCCTTTTTCCTGTCCTTATTTTTGTTTGATCTGGTGGGACCTATGGTTACATTTTCGTTGGTGAGGGTGTAGCTATTTGGGTTTGCATTATTCTTTAGTTAGGGTGTCGGCATCGGATCTGGACGGCCCTGTAAGGGTTGGTTCGGTGTCGGCCCATTTTGATTGTTTTGGCTGGCCCACCAGGTCCACCTTCAATTTGATTACTTTGGGTTTTTGTTCTGGACACGGAGTTGGGTTTTTTGGAGTTATGTACATATAAAAAACCAGAGTTCACTCAAAAGAGAAAATATATAAATAAAATCCATTTTGAACTCTCAACCTGTCTCTGTGTCCTCATATATGTTTTGTCCTTCGGGTCGTAACAATTCCAATATCTCGGCTGAACTACTCTGATCAGTTTTGGAAAAGAGTATGGTTTGTTATTATTAATGCCTTTTGACAGATTAGGGCCATTTAATGATGACTTGACATGAACATCTTACATATTGCTACTTTAATCAACATTAAAATGATATGTGTTATACAATATGATGATAATGATACAATATAATGACTTTCTTAAATTGTACTAAACATTTGCCTGAGCATTGTGCAGCTTTCCTCTCAGCTCCTCCTGTGATGCTGGAGGTGGTGGCGGTGGTTAACTACCCTGAGCCCTGGTGTGGAGCACGGTGACACTGCCTAATGAATGTGAAATCCAAAGACACTCCACTTCCACGGGAGGCTCCTGTTCCTCGTTCTGTCGGCGCACGGTGACCTGATCTTCCCTCGCACACCTTTAAACTCATACACGCTTTTATTAATATTCTACCGCGGCCTGCAATATTTCTTTTTCGCTCTGGGAAAGCTCACATTTGTGCAGCTGAAACAAATCACCAGTCAAAGCTTCTGAGCGAGGCCGACTTTGTGTTAAGGTTTAAAGAGAGCGCTCCGTTTGGGATCCTCCGTACATTTGCACAATTCACCTTAAGAGATATTTAGAGTCTGGAATACTGTTTGCTTTAACTTCAATGTTTTAATCATTTGATCTGCGTACATAGAATAAATAGTCAACTACTTTTAAGTCCTTTCTGAAATAACTGATATGAGATCTTGCAGGAGATCTGTCAATGCCAATATTTATTACAAATATGTTTTTATGCAGGTTGATCATTGCAAGCCACTATAGCAACATGTTAAAGGTACAATCCACAACTTTCCGGCCACCTCCATGGTGCAGGGTCCTCTTTATTTGGTTCCTAAGAACTACGACGTACTTTTAATGCCTATGTGATTCATGTTTTATTCTTTGCTGTTGTTAGGTGTTAGGGACTAGGTCTGAAAATTAGCCTCTGGCCTGATGGCCTATGGACATGGCATCGGTAATAATGTAACAATGGTCTTTTGATTTTCCGAGTAAAGTCATGCAGAAGAAGGACCAGGGGAGAAAAGGGCACCAGGCACATCTGAGGCACATCTTAGTGTTGTCACAGTATGAAAGTTTTAGATGATGATTATAGTGATTTTAAAAAATGTGGTTTTCGGTATTACCACGACAATTTGCAAAAAGGGCATTTCCGTTAATGCATCAACATTAAACATTTCATAAATTGGCTTGTTTGTTTATTAAGGAAAAATAGGGGCAGTTGTTGATAACAGCCTTCTAGATTAAGATCTACATTTCCGGCCACCACAGCTCATTGACCTGAGATTGACAGGTCTGAGGATTTCATGGTTCGTGTGTGTGGTTCTTTAAAACAGCTTTAGCTGACTGGAATAGACAGGCTCAAGCTGTGGGTAATGCACTCAGATTACACTGTCTTCTTAAATTGAAACGTTTACATGTTTTTCAGACATTACTGGCTACAACGGTTACCATGACATCCTTTCGGCCCCCATTCGGCTCGAACAGTCTTAAAAAAAATCTGAATATTGAAAACTCAATGTAGCTACTCTTAACTTGCACATTTTCCAGATTACTTGCCAAATCCTTTTCAATTTGTCGTATTACAGATTCGAAGGGAGCCAAGCCATGCGGTTTTACCTCAGTGCTGTCATCTTCAAAATGGTGTGAAGACCTCTCGAGTTTCAAGTCGTTGCAATCACATCCATATTCTTGTACAAGCAGAGGACTTATGACTGTGGTTTCTGACCCCAATTAATACTTATCTGAGGGTCTTGTAGCAGTGCAATCGTGTGGAGTGGATTTGGAGTGATCATTGTCAGTCTGCGTGAGAGCTCGCATTAGTTTGAAAAATGACTCCCATCTGTCAACTTTATCTTAAGAGATCCAATATGAGACACTTGTCAAACGTGCGTAGAGAGACGAGAGACGCAGCATCTACGAAAAGCGGCGTAAGCAGTTTTATCTTTGGGACTTAATAACATTGACTTGCAGTTCTGGTGTTGATTGGATCTAAAGGTGAAAATGTACAAATGCTGGAAAAATAAAACAAACCAATATATATTCATGAGGTTAATTATAGGATATTCGCTAAAACTGCACCTTTTCATTACCAAGCATTTTATTAAAGGAACGTTACGCAGCAAGGTGTCAGATTACAGTTCAAAGACAATTATGGGGATTTTATATACGTTTTTTTTTTCTGCTACCGGTTTTATACACTTGGTTTGTTTTTATTTAGGCCAATCCACAGTAGCATTTTGTCTGGAAATAAAACGTTGATGTCAGAAACTTTAAACATAGTTGTATATATGTACTGTATATTGAACACAATTTAAACAGAACTTTGCATGACCACTTGTTTGACCACAGGGCTTGCCTGGCATGTTGAATTAATTTTGTCCAATCAGGTAGCAGGATGGAGCTCAACATTTCTCTCACTTGCTCCATAAAAAGTATTTGACAAATTATATTCATGCACATTCTCAATATTTCTGCTCATCTGCAAGAACTATTCATCAAATCTGAATAACTGTAAAAACACTATAAAAAGAAAAAAATCTGCCAAAACAACTTCTCAAATGCCTCGATTAAAACTGCTGTCAAACCTTTTTTGTGTATGCAACATTTTCTTTAATTTAAGCATTAAAATCCATTCCCCCACGCATGTTGCCCTGATTTAATGCTTATTGTAAATTAAGCCATTACCAGATCATGTTCCCACAGAAAACAAGCAGTCCCTGTATAAACCATGCTGATTGCTCGCTGATTTACTATTGTAGTTCCCAATTGCTGTTGTTATATCACTTTCAACCGACAAGTGCCTCATAACCGGCTCGTGCCAAGAATCAGGAACAAGAGCTTCGGATAATCACATTTTATATTCAAACTAGTCTCTCTGCGTCTGATGAACATCCAGCTTGTGTACAGGGTGGCTGCTGCTTTAATCAACCGGACCTTTGTTTGGTCCAGCTGCACTGCTTCGCCCTGGGCCCAGCGTTTCCAGGCATTACATATGGATCTACAAAGATGGAGATATTCTCAGACTAAAGGCTCAGAACGCCCACTCTCTGCTGCCCGACGGGGAAGAAAGTAGTCTATTTTAAAACAGATATTTAGACAACACTGCTTACAGATGCAACCCAACTGCTGGGGTTTAGCAGGAAAAAATAAAATTTCTGTGTATACGCGTAACTACTTTGTACCTGCTTTCATTAAATATATTTTCTTTTTATGGCTCCTGAGAAACTGTAAACCCAAATGAAAAATGTTTTCAACTTAATTAAATTTTATGTACTCTTGTAAAGCCAAGAATCGCAGTGGTCATCTCAGAGCACTTTCCAAAAGTGCAGTTACACAACACAGATCAGAGAATCAAACAGTTCAAACACAGCAAACACAATACTTACAAATACATAGAGCCATTGGTCCATACGGGTCGGAATATCAATGCAAAAGAGATGTTAATAAATGTCAATTTTTGTCATCAATCCTGGCAAAGGACACATCAAAAGTTACTGCCATCCATCCATCCATCCATCTTCTACCCCTTAATCCCTTTTTGGGTTGGGGGGGGTGACCAGAGATGCCACCCAGTACACAGAGCACCAGCCCCTCACTGATCCTCCAGCAGTTGGTGAGTTCACAGAAGGATGGCCGCTCCATGGCATAGCCTTGATCTTTCAGTGGGGGCTTCAGGCAAAGTGGGGTTAAGTGTCTTGCCCAAGGACACAACGACAGCAGTCATCAGTGGGAGTCGGTCTCATGATGGGCTTGAACCCACAACCTTTAGGCTCAAAGGCCAATGCTGTACCAACTGAGCCACTGTCGTCCCTAACACAAGAAATTCTACAAAAAAATAGCTATTACATTTGTCCACACCCCACCTTTTCTTGGAGGCACAAATCACTTCCCCTCTTCCTCATCTGTCAATATCCTTTCTATCCTCCTGAAGAGAGAAGTTGTAAATCCGTCGTGGCATTTTATCATGCGGTGGCAACTGTGGGCGCTCCTTGTCAGCTCGGACCGACCTCGCCGGACCTCTGCCACTATCGACCAAGTGACCCAGTGTACTATTAAGGAGAAAACAACATTTCCTCAAGCTAGCACCAAATCCCCTGAGCAGCCGGGGAGTGGAAGGCAGTGATGTGAGTTGCGGCGGGTGACAAACACTCTGAACTCCAGACAACAGGAATTTAATGCAGGGTGCATGGCTCTAGGCACAGCACGCAACGCGCGACACACTTAAATTGACAAGTCTATTGTGATGACACATGTTGATACCTAGGCTCTAGCCCCAGTGCACTGGTGATCCAGCCAGTCCACCGCTCTTGGCCCAGACTGACCACATAAAGACACAGCCTGCCGTATGAATACAAATACGAGGGGCTTATCTGTACCATCACAGGACTAATGTCAACAGGACATAAGCAAATACAAATGCAAAGAGGCAGCCAGTGGGAGGACAGGCTATGAAAGGATCCCATTTGGAACCATTTGGCTATAGGTCACATAAAGGCAAATGGTGGCTGCAGCCTAAAGCATTGGACAAAGGCCTATAAAATATTAACAAAAATACTAAATAAAACAGAGATTATAGAAAATAAAGATTGTCATTCTGATTCTAACATATGAATTGGTCCTTTCCCATTGACACAAGACTCAAATCAAAATGCTTGTTTGTTTCAAAACGAACCGGAGCCACTTCACAGTGACGGATCCACTAAACTTGTGGGTTTGTTCCTCTGCTTTATTTGCAAAAGTCGTGGCATGTACTACCATAATCACAACATCATAATAGTATTACCAAATACTATATAATACATCCATCCATTTTCTTCCAGTTCATCCATTTCTGGGTTGCGGGGGCAGCCGGCTAAACATAGATGCCCAGACTTCCTTCTCACGCACACTTCCTCTAGCTCAATCGGGGGAATCCCAAGGCGTTCCGAGGCCAGCTCAGTGGGGGAAGGTCCCAGCTCTAAAGGGTAAGGGTTGTGCGCTGACATTCTTGGAATCTCACTCCTTGCCGGTGGTGGTGTACCCGGAAACAGAATTATCCAGTGCATTCTAACGGCACATTCTTTCCTCTCAAATGGCTTTACAGGAGGGTCCAAAAGTCGGCACTTGGTTTCAGATACTGTCAATGCTGAGGCGAGTATTTTTCTTTTGAATGCACTCATTAAATAAATACGTTTCTACAACATTTATGGATATTTATCAACATTTATGGACATAGGTATAGATCTATAGGGGGAGACCAATGTGAGTTGTTGATTCTCTGATCGGTGTTGATGATTTCAACGGTTATGGTAAGTCCTCTGAGATAACTACTGTTGTGATTTAGGGCTATACAAGAATAAAGTGAAAAGTGAATTGACTAAATGACTAAGTGCAGGTAACGCATGTGCAAATGCATATTTTCACATTTTGCTGCTGGAGGGGCTGCCTGCTGCCGTTTTGAATCTACCCATGTCTGTGGCACTATGTCCGTTAATATTTACAGTTTATGGGCCTGGGTCTTCTCCCAGTGGAACATCCGGCATCTGTAACAGAAGCCCGAGCTTCTCAAATGGCTCACCTTGACTTGAAGAAGGAGCGGCTCTACACTGAGCTCCTCCCCAGATCTTCTCACCCTCTAACGGAGCACCCAGAAAACTCATTTAGAGCAAAATTCCATGATCATGATACAGATATCATTTAGTATATGAATTATTTATAAACAACTTGAGAAACTTCATATTTAAAATTTTGAAAAATCCCATGTTGTAATGCGCTTAATGACTTTCAGTTGAATTGATTAAACTTAATCAAAGTAAAAAAAAAAAAAGATTAATCTGACGTTGGAATCAGTTGACAGCACTAGTTTAAATGAATCCTCCAGACTAAATATCAGTTAGAATGGTAATACTTTTCACCTCAGTTGCACTTACCTAGGATCCACAAGTATTACTGCTATTAAATGGTATTATATGTTATATTGTTAGTATTATTATGCTTTTTTATTAACCAGAGCACACCAGAGCAGCATCACACGACTGTGCCATATATAAAGATCCATTACCCTGAATGTTATTGAAGTACATTCAAATTAAAACTATTCTGCTGCCACTCAAATGAGCATCAATGCTTTGACTATTACAAATAAGCTCTGTGCAATTTAGGATTCTGTACTCGTCATAAAAGAAGGTTTAAAAGGGGAGAAAGTGCTTGACATTAGCTCATCAGATCATTTAAATCTATTTTTGATTGTGGGAGATATGAAACGCCAGGCTCAGGTATCATTAATTGCTTGTCCTGTCTTCTTTCAGTCAACATAATGCTTTGCCTCCGTTCCTATCTGTAACCTGATCCTCTGAATGGGAGATGTAATTTACATGATGGGCAAGGCATCTTATTGTCATTTGCTCTGAGACGGTCATTAGAAAGTTTTAAAAGGCGAGTTCAGTAATGAGGAAAATGGGAATAGATTCACAGGTCATTCTCTTGAAAAAATGTTAATCAAAAGCATTTCACTTTGACAAAAAACCCCAGAATGTTGGTCAAGGCGCCTGTTCCTTTCACAGCTACATGAAATAGTATGTCAGAACGACTCAGCAATTGACCCTCCTCCAACCCCATACTTTCTCCCAGGGAACGCTTAGTGTGAACGTGTAGACTAACTGAACAGCAAAAATAGAACTGTTTTCAAATCAAATATATTTATTTTTGTGCAGAACAAAGAAGAAAAGGCATTCAAATTAAAAACCACATCTTATAGGGACATCCTTTATTCCTGTACGGACATGACGACACGTTTCAACCCCTCTCGGGTCTTTATCAGAACATCAGAACCACCAGAATCTTGCATCTCCCTTGTGACTCCAGCCCTCCTGGGACTACAGATTAAAATTATCCTCAGGTTTTAAATTGGCATGTCCACATTATGTTCAACCAGATATGTTCATTGAAATATACTCTGCCAATCATAAAATATAAAGAAAATAAATGAGAACTCAAACTAAAATGAAAAGTTTGAAAGTCATTGCTATTGAATCAAATTGTCGATTCAACATTTTGCAGTTGTTGGCATTAGTCCTCTCACTCCACACAGAGACGATAGTGGGGTTGAGATGCATGCCAGAACAATTGTACATTTTTTTGTGGTGGGGGAAACCAGAGCACCAGGAGGAAAAGCTATGCAGACACAGGTTGTTAACCACTGTGTTAACCACTGTGCCACCGTGCCGCAGAATACAAGAATTCCTTGGAAAACCTCTTTCCTTAGTTCAAAGACCTTGTGAGACCTTGCTTTTGGAAATTTGGTTTTGAAATGAACCGTGTCAACTTGACCTTTGCCATTCGGCATGATTATGTTTACGCAGTCACTAAAAACAATTAATAGGTCCGACATTATTTTTTTTCAATGTACAGATTGAAGAAAAATAATGTCCTGAAAAGTCAATACAAAAAACTATAAGTGGCCAAAGAGATGCTTCACAATGTAATTGATCCCAAGCCGCCTTCACACATCCTCTTTCATGTTGGAAGACTTGACCAGGAGCAGTGGGAAGAAGTCCTTCTGCTCGGGGAGGTGGCAATGAGAGCTGCCACCCAATGCTCATAGCACAGTCCCTCGCTGATCCTCCGGCAGGTGGTGGGTCCACAGGAAGATGGCTGCTGCTCCGTCAGCGGTGACACAGCCTTGTTCTTTCTTGCCCAAGGACACAATGACAGCAGACATGTAGGAGAACCCATGGAAACATAATAATCCATAATCGTTAGTAGGATTGAGTTAGAGTTTGCTGGACATCATTGCTGGGGGTCATTAACAGATTTTTAAGTGAATTGAAACTGACCTATTGTGGAGCTTTGAACTCGGACTAAAGTATTTCAGGTTGACTTGTGCTGTATGTTTAATAAGAAAAAAGCAACTTAATAGATCAGGGCCTTTGTTGTTGTTTTTTGTAAGTGAGCCGTTTGAAAACCCTAGTTTTTTACCAGATTTGGTGGAAAACTAGATTTCCACCAAATCTGGCTCTGACTGGAGCTGGGTCAGGGACAGTTTTTACCACAGGGCACAGTACTTTTTTCCATTCGGAGTTATCTTACTTCTGTTTTTCAGTCTAGATATTACTGTATGCATCTAGTTTACACAACAAAACTTTATAACAAAAGCCTGAGGAAACAAAGAATACCACTGATGTCTTGAAATGAAATTCAAATTATGCATAACTTTTTTTAACGCCCTCAGGTTCAGGACATAAAGTTCAACATGTAAATATAAACAAAAATAAAACGATATGGCCCTAAACCTCTCTCCAGCGTAATTAATTTGTTATTCTGACACAGACAAACTATTTTACAAATAGGACAGTGCAAAGGTATTGGACACACTCTAGGATCTCTCTCAGAGGCTGCTCACTTACAGCTTGCAGGACCCAGTGGGACCACTTGGCCGGGATTAGCATGACAAGGTCCTGGTGCACGGGCCTCCCTGAATTGTAATAAGAACGCATCGTCCAATAGAGAATTTATAATAAATCTGCTATCCTGTCCTCAGTATCCTTGCCCCTTCACCAGCAAGGAAAATCACAATCAATATTCAGTGGTGATTCAGACCCAGAGCCAAGGTTACAGGTGTTCTCATTCATCTTATCAATTATAAAGCTACATATGTTAGATATGTTACCATAAATAAAACAGCTTATTCAGAATATTGTTAAATGAGGACCTTTGTGGTTGCCAATTCAAAACAAAATATTTAATCTTTTAAACTGGGGAAAGATCCACAAAATTATGTATACATTACACGGTTGACACCCATGAGGAGGAGGCAAGGTCAATTGTTGTTTCTAATTATGAAACAATATGTATATACACGATAATTATAGATAATGGAAGAGAAAATGGAGGAAACAAATAAAACAACTAAAGAAGATTAATATTATGTATGTTATGTATGATCTATGACACCTGAACATTATTACGTATTTAGGCAAGGCAGGTTTTTTTTTGTTTCACACAGTTCATACACAAGGCCACTCAAACTGCTTGACAAAAAAAAAGAAAGAAAATAAATGTAAATCATCCGGTGAATAAACTGTTTTGGGAATTAATTGAAATTACCACAGCAATTTCTTACTCATAACTGTCTCGACAAAGACTTCAGCTCAACATGTCTCACACCTGTTACTGCATTATATCCATTCACCTGTCACTTTACCTGCTCATAATGCTACTATTGTTTATTCTGCTCATCTTCTCCGCTGCTAAAGTACAATATACACATCTGTAAACATCAAGTGCAATTATACCAGTTTATTTTATTTTATTATCCTATTACATACTTAATATCTAAATGCTATTATCTTGTATTTTAAACAATAGACCCCGGTTGTTGTGTGCAATCTGAGCGCTCATTTTCCCCTCCTTTTCTCTGCTGTAATGTGCGCAATGATGACACTGAAATTTCCCAACTGTGGGACTAATAAAATAATATCTTATCTTATCCTATCTTAAACGATCTGTTTTTTCATTCCCATTTTGTTATTTTTGTGTTGGGAAAGCAAGAGAAAGTATAGATGAATTTTAAATGGTTTTATTAATAACTTTCTGAACACGCCTTTCTTCATGGACTTGTCAGTACACCAGCGAGCGTCCGCTATCCAGCCAATAATAAATAAAACACTTATTTGATATAAAGTGAGATTTGTCACATTGTTTGGTGATAAGCAGGGAAAAACACATTTCTCTATTTGATGAGTTGGAGCTCCTACACGGAGACGCCTGTCTGTCTCATCAGTAAATCTAACATTCATCTCATAAATTCATTGGCACTTGCCGGAATAATGCCTGCAGCAATAACCACAATCTCCCGCCACGAACAAGCTTGTCCAGACCCATAGAGTTAGCCACCACTGTACTCCACGCCTAAAGCAATCTATCTCAACAAAATGCTCTCCCCTGTCTTCATCAATGACAGAGAAGATGCAATTTGTTTCCAATTTGAAATGCAGATTCCAGTAATAATGTGACTTTCATCGACGGATGTGGAGAAATAAATACAGCTTTGGTTCTGGGATAACATGACATGGCTTTGGAATGAATTTATCCAGATGTGGTTAAAGTCAGCTATCAAGAGTACCTAACTTTTATATATTATGGAATACTCTGCTGGAGCTCAAGATAAATTATAGGATTTACCTAACATTTAAAGGGGTCCTTGGGAGATAAAACCCCATGGATACAGTCCTCCTTTTCCTTGGAGTCTCTCTTGTTATCCTCTATGTCTTGTACTTATTGTGTAATTGTTTGTCTATCGTGTCTATATTGTCTATATTGTCTGATTTGTCTTTTTCTTTCTGCCTCAGGACTATGGATAAAGTGTAGCCTTTGTGTAAAATCTCAACATCCATCCATTTTCGTCCCTTTAATCCATTTCTGGGTCGGGGGGTGGCACTCAGAGCTGTACCCAGTGCACATAGCACCAGCCCCTCACTGATCCTCCTGCAGGTCCACAGGAGCCTTGATTAATCCATGAAACTTTCAACTTTGTTCTAATTATTTTCTCATAAAAGTGTAGACGTGGTGACAATATTCATTCATTCATTCATTCATTCTCTACCCCTTTTTTTGTCTATTTCTGGGTCGAGGGGGTGACAATGGGCCTCATGTATGAAAGTTGCGTAGAAAAGGGTGTATATTTTGGGTGTATATTCCATTTACGCAAGATCCGACGTGGCATTTAGCGTCGTACGCACCTGCGGCTGTTGATAAATGCAGCGCTCAAAACCAGCGTATTTATGAAAGTCACGCCTAGAAATATTCAGAAACTTCCTGTTCCACGCCCTGTTTTTGCGACAGGTCAGCAGGAAGTCGGCTAAGAAGACTGTTTGGAAGCCTAAAAAAACACACTTCTGAGATTATTCACGTTTAAAAATAATATATTTATACTCTCTATTATATATACGCGTTTTTCCCTAGTGTCTAGACCCACTGCAGCACTCATCAAACAGTTGATATATTGGGCCAATAGTAAGAATTCATTAATTTATGCTACAAGTGAAAAAAAAAATCTTCAAATTATGTATGTGATTATTATTTTATAATGGTTGAATGAGAGCCTGTCTGAGCTGTATAGGCCGAAGGCGGTGCTGGCCATGGTCTCTCATCCATGGGCTGCTCCACCAGTGGCACACTGTGGTCCTGTGCCTGTTGTGGAGAACCGAGCCAGGACCATGTGGCACACTTGTACCGGGAGGTACCAGAGCGTACCCCCTACATGTCCCAGAGCCTGATCAGACCCGCGCAGCGCTCCACGGTGGTCTTTGCTTGGACCCGCATGAACCAAAGCCATTAAGCACTGACTGTAGGTGCATATAACAATCCACACATTTGTAGGAGACTAAGTTTGACATCTTGCACGTTATTTAATAACACAAACTAGCCCTAACATAACATCGTAAAATTGCATATTTGTAATGTGAGAGGTGTGCCTATAATCTTGTCAGAGTGGGAATATGTTTATTTTTCTCCAAATCTTGCATTTCATGCATGTTTTGGCGTGTTGTAATGAAGGTTGAAATGAGCGTACACATTTACACCACCTCCAGACCTGGCGTATATTTTTTGCGTATCGTACGCTCACGTCCAGATTGATACTGTAAATGCGGAAAAGTGTAAATATTTTGCGTACGCATCATTTACACCCTGATTTGGCCGTACGCAAGTTTCATATATGAGGCCCAATGAGAGCTGCCACCCAATGCTCATAGCAACAATCCCTCGCTGATCCTCTGCAGGTGGTGAGTCCACAGGAAGATGACAGCTACATTAGTGGTGCCACAGCCTCAGTGTGGCAATAATAAAATAAAAAACATTATGCATGATATTGGCCACGAAGGACTCCTGATAATAAGAGGAGGCTGTTGACGGTTGTTGAGGTTGTTCATGGACGGCACTTCAACAACTACTTTACCACCAACTGGACATGAAGGCTTTTGACAGGCTGCAGTGATAGTACGAGTAGTACCTGTGGTCTTTAACAACATCTTTTGGCATGGGTACACATCTAACACGACATTGCCTAAGTTATCTGTTTATCTAGCGTCACTCCAATTGAATTGATTGGCAACAAACATCCCATTTCCTAATATGCAGATGTCCCACGGTGGAGGAAGTTCAGTCAATCCCTATTTTACTCACAAGATTAATTAACTCCAACATCTCTGGTTACGAGATCAATTGGGATACATGAATCGGGTGTACAGTAGGTGATAGTCAGGCTTGGGATGAGAAAGAGAAAGAAAAAAACCATTGCATTTAACCAATTTAAAGTGGTATTATTAAATATTATGATTATTGTGGCTTCTGTGGAACCCATGCCTGACCTCAATTTACTCTGATGAATCCACTAAGCCCTGTTGCATGATGCATTTTCATTTGTTCTATTGTCAATACCCAAAGGCGTTTGCTAGATGTGTCCTATTACTGGTCTAACCTTCAAACTCAGTAGAATTCATGCTTCCCCTTGAGCTAAATGAGAAGTCTGTAAACTACGGCCGCCAATGGTTTACTTCATCTCGTTTTGAGCCTGTCGCTCTCATCCTTTTTATTTGAAATCCTGCATCTGGTAATTTCATAATTATGGGAGGGGATTATAACGAAGGCAGCCAGAGCGCCAGGTTAATTGGATTTTTCACCTCAACAGGACCAGATCTAAGTCGCCTATGGGCCGCAAGTGTGGATTTTTGAAGTTGGGGACAGGACAAAAGGGACGGAGGGAAGAAAGGAGCGAGAGCCTTTGACTTCAAGAGTTGGAGAAGTTAGTGTTGCGCTGCCAGAGTGTGTTTGTCTTGAGAGGTGGAGACTCACTTTGAGGCTGATGCCATCTATAATTGCAGTTGTGTTTTCCACTCTGAGAAGTCGGTGTAGTGGATTCTGCTCTAGTTATTGATAACCTCTCAAATGTGCTGAAGGATTTGAAACTTTGAAAGGGCCAGAGAGAATAAACTTGAGTTTGATATAAATATGAGTTTGGTATTTTTTCAAGACCCTCAAGGCATCATTTTTATCTGTTAATGTCATGGCAACGAATGAACATTTGTGATTATACTGTAATAACAGTAATAATAAAAAAATGTTGTGCCATTTTCATGAGATAATACCACATTTTAATTTAATGTTTTAATTTCCTATTATGTTTTACATACATTTATATAGAAATTATATGATAATAAATTGGGTAGCACAATAAATCCCTCAAATAAACAAATGTATTCAGTTAACTCGACTGGACAAAACTTAAACTTTTCTATGAGTTGTAGTTTTGTGTGTGTGTACCACTGTGAATTTTATAATTATTACCTTGGACCACCTTGGTTTGTGTTTACATAAGTTTGCTGTTGTTGTAGAATATAATATAAATGAATAAAACATGTTGAATAAAAACAATATAGCATGTGTCGATGGTTCAAATGATTACAATATTATTTTACGTTTATTAGTGGGCGTCACAAGTACTACCCAGCTCTACAACACCCTCCCTAAACACAGTGGACTCATTTAATACAAGTTAAAAGACATTTTTACCAAAATTCTTGTAACAAATGGTTTTATTTCACATGCATTCATCCAAGAATAGTTAACTATTTTCAAAAGAATCTCTAAAATATAAATCCTACATTTCAAAAAGCTGTTTGTTAACCCATAGCAATAAGCACTAACCTGAATTTGTGACGCTACATCATGGTTCTCATCAATTGGGTCATGACTTTCCACTAATTGCATCTTATGGCAGAAAGCGCCGGCTGGAGAACGTTAGCTCTATACAGCTGACTTGTGTGTGTGTTTTTTCCCACATTGGTCTTGTGAGTGTAAGTCAATAACACATTCGTCTTTAGCCGCTCACCTCCATTCTGCTGACAGGATCCTTTAGTTGTGCTGTGCAGAGCGATGATGCACGCCTCGGTGGGACCAGAGGAGCTTGTGGCCTCTCGGCTCTTGGCCCATTTCTGCCTCAACATTTGACAGAAGCCCAGTGCCTGATGCTGAGGGAAAGATTAAACACTGCCCTGCAAACAAACAACCAAGGAGGCCTGCTCTGGTGGCAAAACCGTGCTGTGCTAGGTTGTAAAAAAAACAACTTCCTTTGAAATGGTATGGTTGTGTGATATAAGTTCTATAGAAGAGCAGTAGAGAGATGGGTTTTGTTAAATCCAAAGAAAGACTGTTGTGATTTAGGGCTATACAAGAATAATTTGATTTGTAATTGAATTAAATTGAGTCCAAATCTGCTCGTCAAAGCCTGATTTTGTTAAATCTCCAAAAGTTAAGTAATGCAGTGCCTGGTTAGAATACTGCGATGAGCCGTTAGGGAGTGCAAACTGTTGCTGCTAACTACAGTATAACGCCCGTGATGAATTTGATGTGTACGTGAGTGAAGGGCAGCATAGCCTAAATTCTGTCAGTCTGCCCCAAGTCAGCCGTGGCCACAGTAGTAGCTTAGTATAGTAGCTTACCACCTCTACATTGATGTAACTTAGTAATACATATGTGAGTGTCCAAATGAGTGCTATACAGTATGTAAGCCTGGAAATGTAGCTATTCATATCTAAATATACAGATGTTCAATAAGCTCAAATAATATGTCGCTAATTTGTAAAAACAACAGAATAAAAGAATAATAAATCTTGTTTGTAAAAATAGACAGAAATGTGAGGGGTATGATGCAGCTTAAACTAAAGATCCTGGCCCTTTTATTTTTCCTCCACTGAAATTGTATATATTGGTCATTTGAAACCATATAAGGATATGAAATGTATGTGCATCCTTTTTAATAACTTCTAAAATTGACTTTGACTTTCCATCATTATTTTGCCTCGTGTCATTATGTTTGACATTTGAACAGTCAGTCACTTCAACAGGGACTGACATTCAAGCGCTCTGTACCTGGGATCACCTAAACCACCATCATTCCTTTTCCGCCACAATTTTAAAACGTTGAGTAATTGCTCCAAATGTCACCTAATTGTGGGAAAAAAAATCAAAACAACACATATCCCACTCAGTATTATGTGCCGCCACTGACAATAAAAGTGCTTGATTTTTATTGCGTTTCCTTACTTATTTCATTTTTTTTGACAACTTCTGAGTCATTTCCTTCAAAGCCAAACGATACACAGCGCAAATGGGCATCCCCCCCACGGAGCGCAGTCACTTCGCCTTCAGTGTTGTAGTAAAATGCTCCATAATTTAGCATTACCTGGGGCATAAAGTGAACCAGACGTGACTAGGCGGGCTCTATGACTTTGCAGTAGACATTAATTAAATGCAATATGTCATATGCAGAGGAATATTATGGCTAATATTCCTGCTATGTCAGCCAAGTGGAACATTGTGACCCTTGTTAGTTCTATGGGCTGTGCTTGGCTAATGGCGGCCTATAGGACAAAAGTTTTTTCAATAATGTGATGAGGTGGACAATGCGTGGAACCAGTGTCATTTTTCCGAACCTTTATTAGTGTTACAACCACACATAGTTTTTAGAACATAATTTTACAATGCAGTTTTCCTACCTGAGATTCTTAAACTTGAATCACATGGGGATTTGGCTTCGCTAACACAGATGGACAAATTAATGAACTTGATCTACTATGCAGCAATATAAAAAAAAAAATGAAATAAAATAGCCAGAAAACCATTTTTTCTTCAAGGTGCATTGGGACATACTTACAACCTGAGTAAAATGTATACTTCATCCACAACATAATACCTTTCTAAAAAAGAAACTGTCAGTTGACAAAAAAATCTCACATTTATTTTATTTGTTAAACAAGTGTTGAAATTTACATCAGTCTTAAGTGATGAGCCCCTTGGTAATATGTTTACATAAAAAATGAGCTACAGTACAGCAAATATACCAGTGCTGGAAAATATTCACACATTTTCCGTCCATTTGGAAAGTTTTTCAATAAATTAATAATGTTCAAACCTGGGTGGAAAAACTACATTTATCAAAGCAACGTTTTTATTGTCAAGTCAGTTTCAGTCTTTCTTCCCGTCGCTCCGGTATAAAGTTAAGTTACACAAAAAAACTGTGCAATGCATACAATTCACCCTAAAACCTGTTTGTCCCATTCTACTAATGCCACTAGAAATCAAAGCAATAGTCTTAAATGGGCGTAAGCAAAACACTGTTCACAAGTGGATAAGGTGGGTATGCCGTTTGTTGGACCTTTCATGTATTCCTAAACTCTCAATCTACTACCATGAATGAAGTGTAAAAACCATAGACACGCTTTTTAACATATGTGCACCTTTGTCACAATAGTCTCTCAAATGTTAACATTTCCCAAGTAAAAGGTTTCTTTGTATTTACCGTCTCCCAGGATTTTTACACTAGCAATACAACAAAATATATATTTTAGCAATTTCCTCGACAACAGTTCAAATGTACAGTTGAGAAAATATAAGGCCAGGGGCTTGATTGCTAGCGGTTATACAATCCAAACTTCAAGTGATGGGGAGTGACTGGGCCGGCATATTCCCGGAGCTAAAGTCAGAGGGAATATGTGAGTCCGTGTGCTGATCCATGTGTGCTGTTAGTCTACAATAAAACCATGATTTCATAAAGATGAAGGTGAATGTATGTACAGCCTTTAGGTCAGGAGATTTTTGATTCAGTGTACCATTTCATGTTGTGGCCTTTTTATTATTACTGTTTATTACTGTTGCTCTTTAAAAATCATTTATTCAACAGCAGCAGCACAATTAAATACATTGTTGGTTTGTCTCTTTAAATTCCACTCTGCATTGTATGTACAGTCTAGAACTTTGCAATGCCATCAGAGTCTGTTAGTCTGAGGACAAAGTGGGTCGAGTGGCATGTTTGACTCGAGATGGCAACGCAGATGGGGGAGGTGAGGCTCGAAAAGGTGGCTATGCCCGGGGGCTACTCAGCTCTGTTAAAAATAAAACTATCGCCTCAGTTGCTTGACTGGAGTGTCCTCTGAGAGGCAGGGGCTGCAAAAGGACGAGGGGGTTGGGCTGATTTAAATACATTTAAAGGCTTGTCACTAACTGCATCTGTCCTTCTCGTACGTCACCTTCAGGGATACAGTCCTCTTGGTTGATGGGGATTATGTAGCCATCACTGCTCCCCCGGCCTATCTGGTAGTAGGCCTGGAGCTGGTTGGTGGAGCCCAGGTTTGGCATGCTCTTGTAGAACGTGTCCTCAGCCTCACTCTTCTTGGTTGGGGACAGCTCGTCCACCACATCAGGGCTGCTCTCTGGGAAAGGAGAGTCCCTCAGGTTGGGCATGCTCGTGTACAGTGAGTCTCTGTTGGGGGACTGGGGGCTGTCCTCAGTGGTGGTGGTGGTGGTGAGCTGGGTGGTGTAGGTGTCCTCGTCTCCCTCGGGCCGGCCCTTCCTCTGGGGCGCGTACAGGAGAGAGTGAGTTCTCTGAGGAATGAGTGGCGCCTCCAGCTCCAGGCCAACCGGCTCGTGTACCAGGGACGTAGCGTCGGCCACGATGGCGTCGTCCTCGCTGCTGCTGCCGCCCACCACCGTCACCCTCGGCGGAGCCCGCTCCGTGTGGTGCCGGTGGTGGTACTGCGGGGGCGCGCGAGGCCGCGGCGGCTGCTGTAAACTCAGGTGCTGCTGCTGCGGCGGTGGTGGTGGGGGCGGGTGGCTCTTGTTACAGGCACGCAGGTTGTTGTGTACTAATTCAGAGATGATCATTTTCTCAAAGGCAGCATCGTCCAGACTCAGGCCGCAGTCTACTACCTGCACACTGTCGCCAAAGTCGCCGTTGCGTAGCGAGTAGCTATTGTTAAAGTTACCATTTAGCGGTAGTGTATCCATTGCACTTGTATCCCTCACCACGTTGTTCAGTGAGTGCCCTGCAATGAGAGAAAGATGTGAGGGGATTTCACATTAGTCAGTCTAATAAAGCAGCAAATGTCAAGCAAGTTTAATGCTGTTTAGGATGCAGTGTCACAAGTCAAATTAAGCCATGCCAAAACTGGTTAGTTAGGCACAATCCGCCACAAACAATAAACCCACATGCATCATTTGTAGTGAGAAATCATTTTACTTTCTGGCTTTATATATAAATATATTTTTATTTTCCCTTTGAAAAATTGCTTTTTCAGAAACAGCACTATGCGTTTTAGTTTGCCACAGAAGTGACACAGCGATGGAAAAGATCCCAAACAACATTAAGTGACAAACTGGGACATTAATCACCATCACAGACACATGGGGCAAAGGAGATGTCCACAGGAATGAAGCCGCAAGCGAGCGAGCTACAACACTCAAGAGGTTTTAGCAGCTAATGGATTGGATGTGCCGAGGGAAAGAAAGAGACAAAGATGAAAAAGATGACATGAACAAGAAAGGGAAAATATTTGTGTATCAACATGGGACAGCCATCTTTGTTCTCACTACAACGGGAGCCAACAAGCACCATCAGCACACACAGCAGGTGAAGACACTCACTGAAGACACTCACATCATGTCTGTCTGCTCAGCCTATCTGGTCTAAGAGCAGCTGATGTACAAAAGAAAGTAAAATGATTTATTGGAACATGAAAAATAATTACTTGAAAATAAACAACAAAATAAAGTTATAACTGCAGCTTAGCGGGAGCAAGGGTTCAGCAAATTAGGGAAACAAGCATTAAAGAGCTTTTGGTCTGACAAATGTAATACTGCGTTTGTTGTTTTGTCTTTGTTCTGGGGGTTTCTGGCATTACTTGGTGGTTTGTGTCTCCAAAATTGGGAAAGGTCAGATCTCGCCCGCAGCCCAGCACTTGGCATCTGTCACGCTGACAGCTCCCTGAGTCCCTAACAGAACCAGTGCAGAATAACAGAGGGGCGGCTGGGGTCACTGCCGGTCATGTCAGGAATGTCTTTGGCCATAAGGGTCGTGCAAAACGCTGACAAAAAACATAAATATTAGCTTTTCTTTGATTAAGTGTGCAGATAAAAGAAGAATGTGGGGCCGCAGCTCAGACAGAGCTTATAAAACAACAGATTTCACAGCTACCATAAATGTTTATCTTAATCACAGCTACTTTATCAGTGATGTATTTACGCTGCTTTTGGAGACACTGTGTTTGGTAATTTGGGCTTTGATTGGTTTGGATTGGGAATTAGGGCGTATACATTCGGGGAAACTTTGCTACAGTAGTATCAATTTCGTATTAATGGTGCCAATTCTCATTTAAGGACAATTTCTTGATTATTTGGTTTGCCAGTCATGATAGAATAATTTAATGAACCGCTTGCTCTTGGGGTGTGTTAATGGCCTAAAATAAAATTAAAACCAGTGATTGTGCCGGGGTTGGTTCGGTTGTTTTTAAATAAGCATGCTGAAAAAAATTTACATTTGATAGGCAAAGTTAAGTTTTACTCCCATACTTGTCTCTCTGTAGGTCACTATAGAGGGAAGCACAGGGGAAGAGCACAAACAATGGAAGATGTTGTTTCAGTTTCAAAGTTACAGGGCATTTTTAACTGTTAGCGTGACATGACATTTCCATATTAAAGCTTAGTGCAAAAAGCATTAAGAAACATGTGTTTTAGGGCACACATAATGAAGCAGCTGATAAACTGCGTCATAAATCTTAATAAGCAGTTTTTAGTTGAGGCTCACATCTTTGCCATTGTTTACATTATCTCCAGCCTGAACACACAGTATCCTATTCCACTCTTAATCATTATGTCTCATTCCGGGTTTGGATAAGGGATATCCGAGAGCGCCCTGGGTGGACCAAGGCGACCACAAGAATCTCAAACCCACCATGTGAACATGTGCTGGGCTTTACACATACGCTGGATGTGTGCGCCACCACAAATGCTCTATTCAGACGCTAATGTTGCACCAACACAATTCTGAATGAGGAGGGACACTGTCAAATCTCACATGGGGCGGTTCATTTCAATACCTTATTAGTGGGTGAGTGTAATGTTCTGTCAAATCAAAGTGACATTTAATGGTTACGATAGGCTAAATGCCATTTCAAAGTCTTGAGATATTTAAAAAAACACATAGTTGATTGTTTTTTTTATACTAGATTAGATTAAAAAACTATATTTAGCTCATTTGCCATATAAAACTACATTGCAAACACTAAACATTGTGACTAAGTTGTGGTAATTTGATTCTTGATGAGTATCCAATCATAAAACAGTCTCTCTTTTGGGTTGCCAGATCCAACAGCTAAATCAAGCGGTTTAAAGCCTATGAGTTGTGCTTGTTTACACCCCTGTCAGAACAGTCATTGTTTTGGCCATATTTCTCTCTGCCTTTTTGTTCATTGTTGGTAGCTGTGTGTAGCTTTATATTGTCAAATAAACAAGGTTTCTATTTTCAAAATATGACATCATGGAGCCATTCTGTGGAGAGCTCAAATGTGAAGTTCTTGCACCTTTCCATTAACGGAAAGAGCAGGTTTTTTATGGAAAAAAGGGCAGATTTATCATTTTCCATCAGAGAGGATAAAGAACCTCATCCACAACTACCACAAAAGACTCCAAGCCGTCATTTTTGTTGAGAACTCAGGGATGGAAACTTCTAATAAGGGTAATGTGGATATAATTTGAAAATAGATATTGCATGCATTGGAAAATAAATGGCTTCACACAAGCACAGGTGAAAAACGTGTTTGCAAAATCATTCTCATTCTCAACTCTGTATTTATTACTTGCACTAGAATACACAGCATTTTATACTTGCTCTTTATTATGCTAAAGTCAGGGGTTTTTAGACTCCTTTCCTTATTATGCTAAATACAGACATTGTATACTGCTCCTTTTTATGCCAGAGTTTGAGATTGTATTTTATGTTATTTTATTTTAGCATTTATCATTAATTCATCTTGTGCTGCGTCATTCCTACTGTTCTGTAAAAAACGCTGTAGGAAAAATAAAGCATCCCTTAATCTTAATAATATCTCTGAGGTGTAAATGCTCCAGCACAACTGCCTGTACGTACAGCGCCTCCGATCTAAACCCAGCACCTACACCCACAGTCTCCACACCCTTCCTTCGAACGTTGTTTTTTTGCACAGCGGCCCGACTCATTCAGAGCGTGTCAACATCAGAGATTGTGTGTGGACTTGGGGGTGAATGATTAAGAGGGAACAGTGACACTAGTTGCAGCTCTTGGAGGGCTGTAACCTTCTAACACAGACACAAGACGCACAGAGCAGAGAGTGAAAGCAGTGAAGCTGTAAAGAAGCACACCTGGCGAGTTAAAGACTGGAGCCGTGGGGGTGTTACACACGACTGTCTCGGCCAGTAACGTGTTGTAGGGGTTGTTAGTGCCTTGAGGTCGCAGTAGAGGGTTTGTTAGTAGATAATTTCCAGTCATTCCTATAAGTGCAGAGACAAGTGCATACATTTCAGAGAATTATAGCAAACATAAAGCAGACAGACACATTTAATAGAGTGAGGAGAGATGAGGGAGGATGTGGTGAGCTCCTTTTAAGAGCCAGTGAATGTCATCGAGGCCAAGTCTAAATTGAATCAGTTGTTTTTGGCATTGATGGAAGTCTGATAATGCTGGACGACACATTGTGCACCACAGTCTAAATACACTGCATTAGTGCTGGATAGAAACTTCTAATTGTCACATTATGCTTTGGTGTAAACACAGTCTTCATTATGGAAGTCATTATTTATATACTGTATAAGAGTAATACTAGTAAAGCATTAGCACTGCCACTAACCGTTATTTTGATAGTTGATTAGTCTCACAATAATGCTTTTGATTAATCTAAGTTTGATCCCGATAAAACTGCATATTGGAGGGAACCCTAAAGAACTTTATTTTTCTATTTTTTATGTACAGTTACTACCCTGTTTATGTGATCAAAACACATACAGTATAAAGAGCAGATAACAATTGATTGATTACTGAAATAAAAGAATGAATTTAACGTGATCAGTTGTCATCTATTTGTATTAGCAAAAAATCTATTTATTTACAGTATAAGCATAATCAGGTTAAATTTGAACGGAATAGATACACCATATAAGACAGTGGAATGGTGGAAAATGCTGCTACTCACAGCGTTTTTATTTTGAACAAAATACATTTCCTTCAAGACTTACTCAACCATTTCAACCTGAGGTAAAGAGGTATTCCCCTGCTATCCATCACGGCTCCTAAATGCCACCTGTCATGTTGCTAAGTCTCCAGGGATCTTTTTAATGACAGGGAAGAGCCTTTAGTGTTCTAACCCACTACCATTACCCCCTTGAGTGATCAATACAGACCTCTACATTAACAAAACGTCTATAAGAATTACGAGCCTAAAGTGTGATTCAATGTGTTTTACTTTGTAGAACGCGACAAGCCACAGAAGAGGAAGAAAATGGACACGTAAAGAAGTCACAAGAGGGAGGAGGAGAGGCGAGCTCAGAAAGCCTTTTCAGAAGCAGGGAACATAGGCATTCCAGGTCAACCAGAGTTGAACATCATCTTCTCATCATCATATTTGTGCTCCAGCTAAATAATAAATGACAGAGCTTTTTCCCTCTTCCCTCTCTCATAAAGCCCTAGCTAAAGTACCGCAGGTCACCTCAGACGCCCGACAACAAATAGTGTGCTTTCTCGAATGTATTTTTGCTGATCATATCTTTGCCCGTTTTAGCCTGGATTTTTCATACACGAACTCTGAACTTGTCCCAATTTAAGTCAGATGTTACTGGTCAGATGGAGATTGCACAGGATATTTGAAAACAGGATTCTTTAATCCTATTTTTGGCAGGACTAAGCAATGCTGTGAGTAAGTGTATCACCAGGGACAGCTCTAACCAATAAGCAGGGTAAGCAAACTGGGGCCCCAAGGTCATCTGGAGGGCCCCCAAGTTGCACTATACCCAAACATATACTGTGTTTTATGGCACAAACCCTAACCTCCTTAAACATTTTACCACTCAATTATTTCAAGTTGTATGTACTGTATGTGTTTTTTAAATGTTATTAGCTAATTCGCCAAAACCTTTTTTAAAATGATGTATGGTATTGACTGTATTATTCACAAAGGAAATTACTTGGCACGCAGTAGCTCAAACAAGTACAACAAAATGGTGGGTCAAAAGTAAAGTATATGTAATAGAAACAGATGAAATATTTGTTATAGTTTATAGTTTTTATAGTAGGTAACCCAAGGAAATGCGGTGAAGGGGGGCCCTAAAACATTTTATTCCTTAAAGCCCTTTCATTGTATTTTTAACCTATAGAACAAGCAAGAATATAGTCATTTTGTTACTTTAAAAACCATTCAGACAACAATATACAAAATATGTTACAATAGGAAAAGCATTTTTTTTTAAAGCTCAAAAAAGGTTCCTCTCTTTTAAACTACAGAAGTATGAAAAGCTGAAAGGCATTTTTAGCCCATGATGAAATGAGTGCACATAAGTGTGAGCGGAGCACGGACACTGACCTTGGTTGAGGGTGGAGGTGCTGTTGATGTCACCTGAGATAAAAGAGGACTCCGATTGCTTTCTTACGGTGTCATTCCACATTCTCCTGATTCGACTCTGCCAGGTCAACAAGGGACAAGGGCCATTAGCTCGGAATTATATATATTTTTAGTATACAGTGACCCTACCTGGGAGAAAGGGTATTGAGGATATGTTTTATCATTTCTTATGATGACCTAGTAAATACACTTTGCTTGTAGATGCAGTATTAACGCTGATATACATTTTCTTGGGTTTTGGTTTAATAGGTTTTATAATCACATCAATCCAATATTCAAAGCTGGGGTACCTAACTATATTTTTCCCAACAAAAAGAGTATTGTAAAAGTGAAATGTTGAGATTGAATCAGAACACAACAGGCAGTCTTTATATGGAAAACGCGTATCTTCATATGTGTAAGAAAGAGCCCTGTGAGTCAATATTTAAGAGCTACAGTTAGAGATTTTGTTTTATTTTAACTAGTGTAGCTATTCTTCACTTACATTGTAAATGTCTGCTCCCCTTTCCTACTGTTCTTTAACTTGTGATGCAACACTGAAATTTCCCCACTGTGGATCTTATAATCTCTTCATCTTAATCTTAATGCTTTGGGCTGAGAGCTGGCCGAGTGAGGGTGGTCCTTTCTTTTTCACTTTTTTGTCTGAAAAATATGCTCTGAAAAAGTGAAAGAGGACAAAAGCACACAAAAAACTGGTGATAGGGTTGGACTGTTTTGAGAGCGAAAAACTATAGGCAGGTTGTATTACATTGATGCAGCTTTTGTGGTTTGAAATAGGTACCTCAGCTTTAAATACATCATCTTCTGAATGTGTTTTGTTTCTGTTTATGTATCGAACTATGTCTCAAATGGTTTATTTAACAGATGAATTGAATATTGCTGCTTTTGTGAGCCAGGCTAAACTAACAAGGCCAGCTGATGAGGTCTGCCGTCATGCTCAACAGTAACTAGACAAGGCCTCCATTCACAAAGCCCATCTGTTCAACGTATAGAGCTACTTGTGTATGTCCATACTCCCCTCATATGCATAAGTGCTAGCAGTGCTGTTTAAATAGAGACATATTTCTCATGCATGTGGCGTCAGTGTTGAAAAGATAAAAGCAAATGCTGAAGGGGCAGAGCAGAACAAAGGTCCTCATGCAGTCCATGGCATATTGAAGTCCTGACAGAAGACAATGCTCTCACTGGTAACAGCAGCAGCTCATTACGCTGGGCCTACCTGAGTCCCAGAGGAGTATCTGGCACTGGTTCTGGTGGTGGACGTTTTGGCTGAGCTGTGAGAGTTCTCTGTGGGTAGCCCTCCGCAGCAGTACGTGTGGCGGAAGCACTTGCTGTACTCTTTGCGGACCTGCACGAACAAACAGCCGCAGGTTTACATTACATGTTGACTTTACATATGACTGAGCCAGGAATCCGCACGGCATTTCTATTGACTCTTGTTATCAGCATACAAAGCCCTGCGAATCCCCCCTCAGTCTCCTGTTTAAAATTCACAGCATTTAAACCATAAAATAACAGCATGTGTGCGGGCTCTATACCTTTTTCTGCAGGAGACAGTGGAAGATGAAAATGAACATTCCTTGGAAAGTGTTAAAGATGGTGAAGAGATAAGCCATGACGATGGACGCCTCGTTGATGAAGAAAAGGCCGAAAGACCACGTCAGGCCGAGCAGACACAGCAGAGCGAAGGCCCCCATCACCCAAGACCTGCAACACAAGCCAAAGCAAATACTGCCGTCAGCCCCAGTGGTGCCTCTGTGGGCTTGAACGTAGCTACAGTATGAGGAAGCAGTGGGAAGATTATGAACCATGTGAGAGTAAAAACATGTTCATGAAATACAGACACATCTTTAAAAAGCAAATATTGTATATGGATCAGCTCTATAGATTCAGCATACATATTGTCCCCATAGAACTACAAGGCTCTATCTGATGTTAAAAAGTTAATAAAGTTAATCATATATTCTTAGTCCAATGCTCTATCCACACTTTGTCATTGTATTATTTAGATTTGATTGCGATTTGAGTGCAGTTGGTCTTATGAATGCTCAGAACTCAATATCTTGAAACAATCCAGAGCATAAAAAGAGCCCTCCAACTCCAAGGGAAACGATACAGCAGAACCATTATAATTAACTATGAGATAAACTTGCACACAATATTATCATTTCCTCAGAGGTGCCAGTTTTTTTAAAATACCTTTTCAACATTTACAAATTAGGGGTCGACCGATCATCGGCACCGATATTGGCCAATATCCACATATATGTAACTTTTTTTCAGGTTAATAAATCGGGAGCTGTTATCCTCAATTTTCTGATTGTTTTTTGGTATTATTTATAATGTTGACACCAATATTTTCACTTTAACTGCAAATGATTATTGGCTCTCTATATGTATCGGCTACCTTGACTACTAAATATCAGTATGGGCCCAGAGAAAACCATGTCGGTCGACCTCTATTACATTATTATTATTGAATCTTGATCTTTGATGCCATATAGCAAAAGCTGCCTGTTCGTTATCTAGGGAGTGTGACAAGGTTTCGGTTTCAAAATGACAAAGGTTTCCCCGGCTTGTGTGTGAAGGCCTATTGGGGCCTTCAGACACCAGCTCAGATCAGTATTCAAAAACACATCTCCACACGTAGGATGAACATGAGGGAGAGTTTCGGAACCGGCGAGTGGAACATCAGACAGACATGGGAAGCAGCAGAATCAATAAAAAAAACGTCAATCTATAGGTTTCCGGGCAGCGTGTCCTTACTTGATGAAGTGTTTATTATCTTCATAGCTATAGAGAGCATGATGAGCAGGAAAAGAAAGACACAGTTAGATTAAGCGTGGGTTAGTCGACATGTAAGTGACAATGGAGCTGTGAAAACAGGAATTATGGGGTACATATATGAATTGTTTTTAGCGTGCACACAAGTATTCCAAGTAGTGCGTGGTTTTACTGAAAATGGCAAATAAACTGAGTTCAAGATTAAGTTTTGTATTAAGTTCAATTATTAATTTCAGTTTTATTTTTTAAATGATAATTATTATCCCTCCTCAACATTGGAGCAAATTGATTTATGTTAGACATGCAGATAGAAGTAACTCACATAAACGGTCCAAGCCATATAACGGTCACCTGGATTGATAAATATACATCAAAGCCTTGTAAGGCTGCTAATGGTTGAATAATTGAGAAAGTTGTAAACATTTTAACACATAATCTGAAGTACAATATCACTACCGACAGTTATATCAGATTATATGTATATGGTCATAATTAATCCTTTCTACTCCTCTAACTAATAATATATTATATATTATCATATAACAAAATCTCCCCGGTAACATGCAACAATTATAAAATTGTTCCCTCATCGAACACCTGGTGTTGTTTTTAGATGCATCCACATAAATGTAATAATAGAAAGAACTTCTGACACAACCATGTAACCCCGCCCCTTCTGTCCAACAGCTCCTGTCTCAGTCCTCATTACACTCGTTTAAAACAAACTTATTGCCCCTTTTCTTCAAGTACAGAGATGTTCCTTGCAATCACATGGTTTTGATTACAGCCGGTAATTTTCAAATTTGGATTTTTTTTTTAAACCAATTCAACTTCTCCCTCTGGTGGTTACAAAGGGAGTTATAGGCAAACACATTTGTTTATCCTTCATACTTACTTAATAATATATTTTATGTTTAAGGTGTTATTCCACTAAAATAAAATTTCTATACAGTAAATAGTTACAATATCATGTTAATGGTGACAAATAAAGCATAATATTTCTTATTTAAAACTATAATTATTTTGGTAGTGTGGTTGGAATATGGAACACAAGCTTACCCAGGTAAATCTGTATTATAGTAGCCATCACACACGCGATAAGTACTGTGGAGCGCAGGATAGAGACAGAAAGAATGAGATAGACAGAAGAAAAGGGAATGCGTTAACTTGAGCTTTGCCATGCCACATGCAGTGACGCCAACAGACAAAAAATACATTTACACACACTAATTCACAGGTTGATACATTCTTTAACTGTGGTTTCTCTGGCACAAATAAACCAACAAGTCAAAATAAACCCTTTTTTCCCTGAATGCTTGCCTTGATTGCAGTTTTACCACAGAGATGTAATGCTGCACGCTTTCATTAAAGCAAAAAAATAAACAAACAGTTGGTAAAAATAGACGATCCACCGCCGCAGCTGCTGAGATTCCTGTTTGCAAAGGGAAAAGTAATGACACAAGTACAAACAAACCGTACAGTAGCAAATTGGAAAACTCTGCCTTTTTATCTTTCAATAAATACATCATTCATGGGAAGCGCTGACCAGCAAACGCAACAATTAAAAGGACAAAGCAGAATTCATTTCAAAGCAGAGAAGGAACATACTAGGATTGGAGGTGGTCTGGCGATTGCTGCGGGACTGACATTCTCTTCTGCAATCGATTTCGGGAAAAGGGTGTTTGACATGTTCCAGGAATAAATTCAACACACTGGTCATTGCATTGATGGACACGGACAAATGGAACATAAACACCCTTGATTTGGAGACTATGCAGGGATTTCTGGACACCCTCACTTATTCTGTTGTAATAATAGTACGTACCATGCCAACAATGTACAATCAATTTATGTTTATATCGTCCACAGTCACATGATCTCAAATGTTGATTCGCCAACAGATTTGCAAATGTGTCCCCTGTTCTTGAGTCCCCTGTCCTTAAAACTTTTCTTTGTTGCCAGAGGAAAACTCCAAAAACACAGTGGGAGAAATTAACCAGTTTGAACTTTGGAGAAACTTGGGAGCAACCGATTATCAACCAAGCCAATCATGGACAGCAACATTATGATGTGTCCTACTGGTCAAAACAACAATGCCACAACTCAATTCACAATTTGTCTCCTCCACAACAGAGCTCATGTACCTCATGGTTAATGTTGGTCTAAATTAGCATCAAATACAAGTGTTTTGACAATAATACTTTCACTTTTCCTCCAAAGATGGGTCTGTATATTTGTCATCAGCCTCCTTGACCTTTAGAAAGAATCCACTCCCATGGACTGACAGATGTGAAAGACGCTATTCAAAGCTCAATCCTCAAAACAACAGAGCCCATTAAAGTGTTGTCCTCTTCTTGCAAATATTTCTGGCAGACAAAATCATGTTTATTTTTGATTCAAAAGTTGTACATTTCCAATGAAGACTGATATGTCCTCACTTGGTAGTGAGGATGGAGACACACACATCCTGAACTTAGGCCTGCGTTGCATAAAAAGAAGACTGAAGCTTCTGGAACTGCTGAGCGGATCTTTCTTCTTTTAACATGTCTTCAAATTGCACCATGTAACAGCGCACATGGACACCCTGCACACACTCCGGTCGGTTTATGACCCAGGCCTGGCTTTACTCTGTGGCTTGGATCCACAAAACAGAATGAACAAAAGACAATTCCCAAAGTCATGTTCAGTCTGTATTTGAGATCTATTCCCATGGAGAAAAAAGGATACATCAGGACAAAGAGAACGTCCATGATTATTTTGGAGCGTAGGGTTATGAGTGAAATCATTATGGCTGAAATAAAAGGCCCACGTTTCGCTGCAGGCCTCAGTAGTATAAACGCAGCAGTGTTAAGTGTTGGGAGTGTGTGGGTTTGGTGTATATGAGCCTTTAACTTACTTTATATTCTCCAGCCGACTTGAATCTGGCTTCAGGCTGGTGGAGTGCTTCACCATTTTGTACATTGTGATCACCAGGAAGATGAGGTTTAGCTGTCGGAAACACACACATGACCGGGTAAATGCATAAATAACATAAAAAAACATACTCGGTCACATTTGATCAGCCTTCTCAGACAGAGAAGTGAAACCAGAGAAACAGGCCCTCACTCAGCCAATCAGCTCTCAGTGTGTATAATAACAACACAATAAGATAAAGACAGCAATTAGTAGCCTGATGTGTTCACAAAATTTTACTTTTTCTGTTGGACCAATTCAACAATTGAGGTATCCAGCTTCAAAAATAAAATGTTTGAATGTGTTTTGTCCTAAAAATAGACATTCCCTTATAGCAACTAAATTGTCTTGCCTGAAAGAAGCCCAGAGGCAGCCTACTTGTGCAACTTTCATGTGGCCCTCATCTAGCTCCCCCCCCTCCTTTAAATAAATTACAATAGGCATGGAGCAGTGGGAGCAATTCTTCCAAGCCTCAAATGCAACAAAAATGCAATGTTAGCATCCCCCAAACATGTATGAATCAAACTTTGCACAAGGCTTATAGAATATTATATGAAACGATTCTAGCAAGGTGAACGCTGATACCTAGAAGCAATGATTTAAATATAGCATAAGACAAGACGCAAAAACATAAAACCTGTTAATTTGTATTTATAGAGTGGAGAGCCTTCCGATGTCTGCATGTCCACAATCTAATCCAATAGACATCTATTGCTCCACTTGGGCTCAGACAGGCTGACTGGCGCCAAATTTAGTGTCATTCTATATCAATAAGGGCATGAAAACACATTTAAATCCATCAGGGCTAAAATAAAAAAAAATAAAACGATGAAATAGGAAAAATACATAAAAAAACAAATGCACAGTAGAGCCAGTGTGGTGTACCCAAAAGGGAATAAAAACGGTAGAAATCAGAGCTCATCTTGTTTAATGCGTATCATTTCATGCACAGTGAAATATTGTAAGGAGAAGCTGGAGGGAGTGCGCTGCAAAACATTCCTGCTCACTTCTTGGACAGATGAGGAGAGATGGAGCAAGGGAACAAAGTGAAAGAGATACAGCGCTTTTTCTCTTGTGGTAATGTATTAAATCTAAAACACGCCCTTGGCATGGACATGCCCCTAAAAAATCAATAGACTGATTTTAGAGACACAAAAAACCATTGCGGCCAGTGAAAAACCAGCTCCAAATAATTTAGTTCAAAAACATGTATTCAGGGGCCAAACTATAGTCTCTCTGACACAGCAAGTACAAGGGCTGTTTGTTCTGCTCGCTCGGCATGTATAAATAATGTCAAGGAATATCTAACTAAATAAATAAATACAAATATTTGCCTCAAATATGAATTTCAACGAGTGAGGAATGGTGTGTCTCAGCTTGAGAGGAAGACAAAAAAGGACTTGTAAACAAGGTTTTTTATCATGTTATCTTAGGAATGTCAAAACACAGTGGAAAGAAAAATGGATTGGAATAAAGGAGTGACCTTTGTGAGCCCGAGTGCAGAGCTCAGACATTCACTCCTGAACAAGAATGGTCTGTGTATACGGCCGCATGCTGCTATCAAAAGGCTGTTGTGATCAATACATCACCTCTCCACATGCAATCAGCCCCTGAACAGAGCCTCAATAAGCCGAGCGGAAAACTAAAATAAAGCAGCCCGGCGTATAGCGATACCAATGCATTTAGCGATATGGGATTTGAAAGTGAAACATAACCACCAGGGATAACCCAAAAGTATATGTGGACAATGCTTTTATTCAACCTGATTATGCTGGCAACACTAAGAGCATATACACTTTCAAAAGCCTTGATGTGTGGTTAGCAATTCTGATTTCATGTATGAAGGCCCCATCATGAAAATTAACCCTTTGTGTGATGGAGCTTTGTCAGAAATGTGAGTTAGGACTAAATATGCATAAAAGAACACGCTCCAGGCTTCCATTTGTGGGAAGCGGAGGCTCACATTTGCAGGCTTAACAAAACCACAACATTATAGTATGTTCAGTTACTATAACAACTTGTGTGTGTGTTTCAAGCGTAAATAAATGGCATTATATTTAAATATTTCATCAAATACATACAATAAACAACACTGACAACATGTTCCTACAAAAGGACAAAAAAGTTTCTCTAATTTAATCTAAAAGCTGGAGTACAAAACTTTTGTCTTGATTTTTCCATGTTTTTTTTGTTTTTGTTTTTTTTTTACAAATGAGACCAAAACATGCTGTCTTTATCATATTTATAAAAAGTTTTATCGTTTACATTCTGAGAAGCTGATTTAAAGAAGTGACAGAAGCAACACCATATTAAGTAAATAAGTGCTATATCCACATATAGAAAAATACTGGTTTATAATATTTTGTGTGAACATTTCTGAACTACTATACTAAAATGTTTGTTGAACTGAAAATAATTTACTTATTTATGTATCAATTACTGGAAATATCATATAAAAACACATTCTGGAAGGGAGGACACAATACTCTTAAATGCTGTATTTGTGCTTTACAATTGTGACTTTTCTTGCTTTTTCGAGACGTTGCTGCAGTTCAATGATCATGGTTTTTCACTGGTCTGGACCAGAGTGGAGAGGATTTGTGGTCCGAACCTTGCGGATCAGCCGAAAATCCACTGAAGGAAGGCTAACTTTGTGAAAAATGCTAACAAAGGATTCACCATTTTACTTTGGACCAGAGCAGAGAAAATGGTCCGAACCCAGCGGCTACTCCACCGTCCTGCTCCACCCACAGTCTAGACCATCTCTGCTTCTGTGATCTATCTATCTATCTATCTATGTACAGTTAATCCTACTCCTCTCTTAGTGTATTCCTTCTCAATAACTGTATCACTCTTGCAATTCACTGGTACAGTAATGCTAATTCGATATTTTGCAGAACAGATTCTCAAATAAATCAATAAATCAATCTCAAAGCGAGTAACTAGTACACGGTTCTGTGGTTTCAAATGATGTACTCCAGATTTAAACGTACAAAAAAAACTTGGTATTTGAATTAAATGTGGGTAAAAATGTGTGTCCCCTCACATAGCCCTGTTTATATTTTATTTTCCAGCCATCATAATACAGTCATCAGATATAAAATGGTCCCGTGAGCAGAGGTGACATGGATCCAATGAGACACAGAAGCAGGACACAGGACTTTAAAGTAACCTCGTAGCGCGGTACATGTTCCCACCCCCACCAACATGCTTTCGCAGGCCTTCCCCCGGGATCCCCTCACTAACTCACTAACGCGGGCCCCTTCCATCCTTCACTCTGCCTCTGCATCATCACTGCAAGCCAAGCAGAAGCACCACACCACACAGGGACCCGGCAGAAAGCTTTTTTTTTTTTTTTTTTGAGTGTACACAGTGAACTCCACGTGAACTGCTGGGGATGAAATATTAAAGGTGCAGATGGAGCTGTCCAGATGAGAGGAACTGCTTGCGACGTGTCATGATCCAAAAGGCCTTGTGTAGAAGCGCAGCTCAAGCATACTAATGGTTGGCCCCAGCACTCATTACTTCCATGTCCCCCTTTTCATGGAGCTAATACCCCCTGTGCCCTGAGACCAACAACAAGAACTCACATCTAACGGCTTCTCCTTGGCTTTTTGTTTGGCTGCTTTTAGACAGCGGCAGTGGGAGAAGTACAGACAACACATGCCATAACAAGACAAGAAACAAAAAAGTCGATACTTTTCACTATAGTATATTCTTAGGGGCTTACATTATTGTTCAAATATGGTACTTGTGTCCCAGTCCAAACCAAGCTTTGTTTAATAATTGAACTAAAACTAAGCAAACTCACAGTTTTGTTTAAGATTATAAAAGTAATGTGTAAATGAATTAAGGATTTAACAAATCACAAGTAAATCATTCATACTGACCAACATTACTCTTGTATGCCAACTTTATCATTAACATCTAATTTCAGTTGATAAAGATTAGGCCCTGTTTACACGGAGACGCTGTGACAGTAAAATGATAGAGTTCACTATCGGATTGGCCTTTTGTTCACGAGGGTGGAAACGCAAGCGTTGAAAAACGGCCTCCAGAGCGGAACAAACCAGATATGCTGTATACCTTTATCGAAGAAAAAGGTGTGAACCCTCTGGCTGCAATGACCTCACCTTTTTAAAAGTGAAAGATTCAATAGATGTTCGTTGTGTTGTTTTATCTTTAGTTGTTTAAAGAGATCACTCGCTGCTTTCCCCTGTTATGCCAACAGATGCTATTATTGCTAACATATATTCCGTGAAACTCCAACAAAGTCAGGAATTAACGCTACGTGGTGAAGTCTATTTGCACTAACAATGTCAAGGTTCATGAAATAACTATACATTTTTATATATTGCTCAAAATGACCACAGTCACCATCACAATGGCACGGCTTGAGATCCAAATTCATGTGCAAAGCATTTGCGACTCAGTGATCCACAGCCGCCAGCCGACCGTACTTCTTCTATCTTTTCTGTTTCCCTTCCTTCCTCCTCTGCCTTTCTCATTGACAAGGACAAAGCCAATTTGTAGCAGAACCCCGGGGTCAGTGATGTTGTAGACAAACCTTGCGCCTGCCTGCTCCCATGTTGCACCGAACCCAACAAAGCAGCGTGGTGTGGGAGATCTCAAGCCAGAACAGCAAAAAGAAGCTAAATTCTGTGACATGTTGGCTGCGCAGCAATACATTAACTGTTCACGGGGTCATGCATCTGTCTCTCCGGTCATCACCGCTGGGACCATGATCATCATTTCCGCTGCAGACACATTTTTCATGCAAATCATCACGAAAGCGCCCACATACAAGAAACAATGAGAGCCTAAATTAGATGAAGGTTCCTGTGTGGCTGACAGAGCATTTGCTGAGACAAGAAAAAACATGTGTTTGTTTTAACACAGTGTTAGCCTGCTTCATTTCAAAGCTCACATGTTAAAAGCAACTAGAGACGCGGTGCACCTGAGAGGAATTGCAGGAATTCTTGATATTTTCAGCATCTACGATAAGATTAGATAAACTTTATTGATCTCATAATGGAGAAATATGCATGTCTCATTGGCACAGACAGGATCACTCAGGGTGCGCAAAAAGACAGATGTATTAGGTGCATAGGTTCCATTGTGTTGAGTCATCTTGCCTAAATGTTTCAGTGTAAAGACAAAACCTAAAAATTCATATTAAGTTGCCTCATTCCAACTCTTTAATTGTATACACTAAGAACAGAATCAGAAAGAAACAACAACTGCCAACTTTGATCATACACTTCACCAGCCCCAGCTTTCTGCACCTCCTCCATCTCTAAAACCATACTTCTGAATCAGCAATGTCTGTATTTGAACGAACTGTGAGCAATCTCGTCACCTCTGCTCCCTGTTTTTTTATTTATCCTGCAGACAAAATTCAGCTCTATATCATCTCTGCGTGCAAAAGCTCTTGGATGTGCTATGAGACAGGCTGCAGTTTGACACGGGCAGCCCCTGTCTCAGCTATATCCACAAAGTCAGTTTGATGCTAGACTCAGGTCATCTGTACATATACTGTTAGGACCAGAAATGCTAGATAATGAACCCACTGCTGAGCAAACATCTCTAAAGAAGACTTCCTCATCCCTCAGTGAGCGGAGAAGGGCAAACCAATATGCGCTCGTATATCCCTGGAATACCACCTGCTATTCCGTCCGCCGTCTGCCTGCACGGCTGTAAGACTCCCTGAGGTCTCATTCTTCCAAGCCTGTCTGATGGAGCGAGGGATAATAATGTCATGACCAGTAAATAATTGCATGCCTTAATAGGACATATGTCAATATGATATGGTATATGTCCTTCACCGAGCTGGCCTTGGCCAAACACAGTGGCTCTTTTGCTACAAAATGGTTTCATATGCACCAAAAGAAACATACAGTTGATTGGTTTGAACACAAAGTCTTTGCATTTACATTAACAGTGTAACCAAAGGTGATGTTTATTTTTCCTCTTGCTGGTAGGAAAAGTGATTTTATCTTATTAACATAATACGCAACAATATGTATCAACCATATCAGTAAAAATGGAACGGATATCAAAGGCAGACATTTCATCATCCATATTAACCAATAAGACCCCATAAAGATAATCCTATCAATTTCTTGATTGCAGTTCTGCCATTCAGAGCATCACTTCGATCTCAGCCCCTCAGTCCACCCCCCCCCCCCCACCCCCGGCCATCCATTCAGAGGAGGATGTAGCGGCTTACCATGATGATAAAGGTGACAGGTCCGATGAAACTCCATATGAAATGATTATCCACACTTAGCCAGCAACTGTGGGACAGAGACGTATGAGTTAGCCCTGGTCCAGTGCTCAGAACATACACCAGAATAGTGTTGAACATACAGTATTCCAATACAGTCAAAGAAATAATACAAATGAATGTGATCATGCTAAATCATTGTTTAGTCATGATTGTATAAGGTATGTTATTGTTGGTAAAAAAGTGCCTGTACATGCTATATCTCATTAATCAGGAATTTTCAGTCTTACACAATCATTTACAAACAAGAGGTCACTGGAGGGTCTTTGTGCAGAAAAGCCTTAATGCAGACGCACCCCTCTGAAACCGCAGTGCTAAGTCTGTCAGCCCCTTTCAAATAACATCAAATATTAAAGAGCTGCCCATCCCATCCCTGGCAAAAGAGCTCAAATGTTTTGGTGTGCTCCCCAGGGAAGCACAGGCTGAAAAAGACCAGAAAATGTCTTTTTACAGAGAGGGGAAAAAAAAGAGACAAACTAGTCTCTAACATTGTAGCATGCCCTATTTTGAAAAAGTCTTATTTACAAAGTACACTCACGCTTTGCTGGTCCCATAGCTCCTGTAGTCGATAGCAGCAGACACGCCGACCACGATCGCAGGGAAGAGGTAGCCTGACACGTAATAGTACTTTTTCCGAGAGTATTCACTTTCAAAGACCTCCACGAGCATGAGGTACAGCTGGACCCCTTCCAGACACATCCAGGTGAACGAAGCCAAGAAGAAGAAGTGGAGAATCCCCGCGATGATGGCACATCCGATCTGAGTCCACAATCAAAGGAAGAAAAATCCATTAGGAAATGTAGGAGAAGTACACATCAGACCTACATTCTAACGGCTGCCTTAGCATTTGGATTGAAAAAATAACAAAACAATTGGGTGCTAAAATATGTTCACACAGATTGTTATAATGTGGCAGATCCCAGTAAGTATTCTGTCATTCAAACTGAGTTAGTATAGAGCATTTATCTGAATAACGTGCAAATGATAAGAAAGAATTGGACCAACAAATTTTCAAATATCTTGACTCGATATTTAAGAAATTAAAAGTTGAAAAGCATTTTACAGAGAAACTCCAATATTTTATCTCTATTTTAAGACATTGCACACCATATTTATGTCACTGGAACCTTATTTACCTTTATATACCTGTATTTATATACCTTACTGAAATAGAAAGAAAGAAAGTGAAAGAAAAGTTCATGTTAATTTTACTCTTGGCTTACAACTTTAATTCTGACACCCTGGACACATTTTCCAGTTCTATCTGGTTTAGTTAATTCTATTAGATAATATATTTCTCCACAAGCGATGTTTTTGAACAGGTTATTTATTTATTCACAGATTTAATTATTCCACTTAAAGGCCAGATCAACTTCCGCCTCACAAACGCATCAGAGCACTTTTCCGATAAAAAAAAATCAAATAAATGAATATTCATAGCCGCCACCACCACATGTGTAGATTTCTGTCTGGGGATTATTGGAAAGCTAGTGTTGGAAGATTTAATTACAGCGTCCCCGTTTGAAGCCTTGATTCCCACCTGTACGCAGCAGAATGATTTTCACGTCAGGCAAAAAAAAAAAACCATGGAAAAGGCTGCGGCTGTGGGTAGAACATGGCAACAGTGTGGCTTTAAGTGAGACAGGAGAAAAGAGCTGTCAAGTGGAAGACACGGTCCCTTAGTAATCTATATTAATGGTTTTGGCCTCGTGATGTCATGACAGGGAGGCGAGGAACAAAACGGGCTGCTCATGTCCTTCTGTGCTGCGCAGGACTTTTGGTTTGTAAAATGTACACAACGAAATAATGTATATATGTGTGTATATAATTTTTCTTACATTGGCATAAAGTAATTGTGTAGTAGTACTACTATTAGTAAAATACTGAAACTGTCTATAAAATGAAATAAAAAATATGTACAATAGTCCCCCATGACACCCTCTCTAAAAACACCCCCTCTTTATGGGGTCTGAGTGGGACTTTCCTGGTAATAAACAGGTCATTAAAAGTACAATAAAGAGTGAAGGTGAATATGACAAAGAACTGTATATAAAAAAAATTGCCAACATCAAATAGATGTACTTTTTACGAGAAAGGAGGAAAATGACTCTTATCACTAGCCAAATTAATCGTTACGATTTTCATTTCAAATAGATAGATAGATAGATAGATCCAAGGTCCAGATCCAAGGTCCAAATACTAATACAGATCATGCATAAGAAGTATGTATTACAATAGTGGAGGCCTGTAGAGTAGAGAACTGTTGTAGTACTTTATCCCAATAACATGCAAATGAGGTGTAATGGAAGAAATCGCTGCCAATTTTTAACAGTGTGGATAAATCCAAATGAAATCAAAGGACTCAAAATTAAGAGTGAACAGTCGTGACAAGGTTGATCAGTGAGATCTGTACACACACACACACACACACACACACACACACACACACACATAGACGTTCCTTGCATGATATATACCACAGAAGGACACACAACAACTGTCCAGGGACTACAGATGGAAAATAGCCCTTAGGCTAATTCTGGCATATTTACAAGTATAATGTATATTAATATGCACTGTCCCTTTAATAAATAAATAAATAAAAAAGCAGGACAAATATCAAAATATAATATTGGCTGAAAAATGATATGTCCCCTAAACCCTCCTCACCCGGGGCTCCGTCATGTCGATGCCTATGAGGAAGATGAGCTCTGCGATGAAGAGGTTAATGCACAAGTTCTTGTGGATGGTGTTGCGGTCGCTCTGCAGACCCCTGAAGAAGCAGAAGGTGAAGATGCTGATGCTGAGACAGACCAGCGAGACCACCATGCCCACCCGGGTGATGACGGTCAGCAGCAGCTCGTGAACCTGCCCATTCACCTGAAAGAGCAGAGACGGGGTCAGGACAGTGGGGAGGCTGTGTAGAGTGTGTGTGAGATTAGTTTTCAGTTTAAAGTATTATCGGTGGCTGAATGCTTAACACTCTCGCTTCTAAACAAGATCATGATTTCTACCTACAGACAGGGCCTTTCTGAATGGGGGTTTGAATGTTCTTCCTCTGTCTGCGTAGGTCTCCTCTGGGTGCTCAGGTTTCCTCTACCACTAAAATCATGTGCAAGACAAGACAGGGGAGCTCCCTGTCTCTAGGGCGAAGACTGAAAAAGAGATTTTGAAATCTCACTGGGACTTTCTTGGTTAAATAAAGGGCAAGTACTTGGAAAAGGGAATAGGCAGAAGCTCTATTCAACATATGGAGCTGACGATTTTCCCCTATCCACATTCTCAAATAACATTATAATATTTTTTCTTAATAACATGTTTGTTTTTATCACAAACTTCAGCAGCTTTTTAAATCCAAGTCACTACTTTAAAAGATGACAAGCACTTAACATGTAATTATCAGACGTGGAAATCTTATTTGTGATATAAAAACACAAAAAACACACTTTACTGGTTTATTGCAAAGTGTCAGTCCCATTGGCCATCATCAGGTGTAAATACATAGTTAATAGATATAAAAAAGGAAAAATTGATACAATATCTGATATGCTATGTTTTAGTAATATCAATATTTTATTGTATGTAATATCATATTGCATTAATGATATTTTACAGATGTATCGAATCGTTTGGAAATATATAGTATAGAATCTCAATTAAATTTAAATCCGAAAGTGGCCTCAATCAAGGCACGCGTCGCATCGGCAATCTCTAAAACTTAGACAACTCTATTTGCAATATATCAGTGAAGTAAAATGACCATTGTAAAAGTTTGGAGAAAAAAAAAGTCACATCTATGTTAGAAAATGCTCATATCAGATGTGCCTTTGTGAGACTTGTTCAACCGCAGATCATGATGGATGAGGAGGTTACACACAATTGGCCACAAACATCAAATTCAGCCAAAACCATCAAATAAATGAATTTCAAAACATGACTCACGGCCAGTTGTCGGTGAGCCATCAGTATTGCAAAGTTGGTGAGGTGGCTACAGGAGCAGGTGGTGTGCGTTTTATTAGAATCCACCAGTTTGCAGCCCTGAGTTGACCAGTATCCCATCATGCTCCGCTCCGAGTAGTTCCAAAACGAGCAATTGGAGTTGAAGTAGTGCTCCATCTGCAGATAACAAGAGAAATGCTTAAGTGTCCCAATAAGTGAAGTATAACACGGAATACCATTTACCCCCTACTCGCACAAAGTATTTGCTCGACTTCCAATCGATAAGAATGGAGATTTTTCACTCCACGGCTCTTATGGCATTATTACTCGACATCAGAGCTCATTTAGCCCCCGATTTTCCAAATCAAGCGCAGCATCAGCGCCTATACTAGCGCTTTAATAATATAATTGTTTGATTGCCTGTCTCTGGAATGGTAATAATTTGGTGATAAAATATGTCCCGTGAGCCCCTCTGGGAACTATAGTGACAAATTTAAAAAGATAATTGGGAGCTGCAGTAATTTCATCCAAGATTGTACAGCTAATCTGGGAGCTAATTCAAAGCCATAAAAAAGAAAATCATTTATATCCCAATTTTGATTAACGAATTATGTTTTATTAAGAATTCACTTAAAGACTTTTAATTTGATGTTCAGCGGCTTAAATAATCTACGGCCCGACCTCTGCCAGACATTACCAATTCAAATGGCAGATCTGCGTCTAGTGTGGATCATCCCTCCTGGAGTTTTTAATATGAAACGACCGTTGCATCCACTCACGTCAATGTGCTCCAGGGTGAACACCACGGGGTCGTTAATGAACACGCGGCTGGACTCCTTGTTGATTGAAGCGGCGATGATGTCTGAGTTGACAGCCACTGACACGTTGCGACCATAAACCTCGTTGGCCATTTTGATGGTGGCGTTTTCAGTGCTGAGGAACTGGCCCAGGTTTCTATACAGGACGAACACGAGCTTGGCGACTCCTGGGTGGCACCAAACATGATTGATGTATTAAAATCCATGTATAAGATAAGATAAGATAGACTTTATTGATCTCACACTGGAGAAATGTACATTTGGCATGGATAGAATCACTCAGATTGTGCAAACATGTTAAGGTTAAAAATACAGTCTGCGCAGGATATAATTATGTACAATGAAAAAGTGGCAATAGCAGCACTGTTTTTTCAGTCCTAGTGCATTAATGACTTAAAGCGACTTATTATTATCATTATCATGACTATTTTATTAATGTAGTTTTACAGTTTTCACATGCATGTATTGTTGGCCGTTTTAATATCTCCAGTGAATTTATCATTGCATTTCCTCTCTTTTAATCTGCGTTTAATAATGAAAGCTTTGTAAAGTCCTCCGAAGTAACTACTGTTGTGATTTAGGGCTATACAAGAATACATTGAAATGATTTGAACAGTGAAAAAGTATCAGTATCAGCCCTCAATCAGCCTTAGTAAATAGAAAATAATATGTTTTCCACTATAAAGGCAACATTATCTGACATTATAGGAACTTTTTTTTTTTTGAGTAAGTAAGTAATGTTTATTTATATAGCGCATTTTACAGACCAAGGTCACCCAAAGCGCTTTACAATGTTCAGAGTTCAGATATTGTTCCAATCATTCCACACACGGTGATGACAGATGCGAGTCGCCGAACACACATTTTGAGACCAACAGTACTTCATCATAAATAATCATAAATACGGCATTGACAGTGCATCTGTGTATAATGAGCTGTGGGTGGAACGTCAAATTTTACATCATATATTCACTCACATATTACTATTATCCATCCATCCATCCATTTTCTACCCTTTAATCCATTTCTGGGTCGGGGGGGTGACCAGAGATGCCACCCAGTCCACATAGCACCAGCCCCTCACTGATCCTCCTGCAGGTGGTGAGTCCACAGGAGGACGGCCACTGTATGGCATAGCCTTGATCTTTCAGTGGGGGCTTCCGGCAAAGTAGGGTTAAGTGTCTTGCCCAAGGACACAACGACAGCAGTCATCAGTGGGAGTCGGTGGAGAAGGTCTCATGGTGGGCTCGAACCTATAATCTATAATCTATACTTAGCTCAAGCGTACCATTGCGACTGTTGAGTTTGACTGTGTTGGCTGAAAGCTGGATGGAGATTCCCCCTTTACTTGACTGTGGGAACTTAAAATCCTGGACTTGGCCGTCGGTGCTGAGAACGTACACGTCTAGGACTGCAAGAAAGAAAAAAAAAGGTTCAGATCAGAGTCAACATTCTACTCGCAAAGACATAAAATTGAAATAGGACAGTATTGATACAAAAGCTTTTTGTCGGGTCTTTATAGTGATGTGGAGGGGGGCACGCCGTCGCCGTCACTAAATCACGCAGCAATGAGCTCAGTGATAAAAGCACCATTCACAAACTCATCCCATTAAAACCCAAACCGACATGAGTAATATATGATGAAGATCTCAAAATACTTGTGAATGTTCTCTTTCATATGCGCACATCAAAAGCCAATCGGGCCAAGGAGGAGGAGGAGCAGGCTAAAGTGAAGATAAACAATGGCGTTTTCTGACTCCGCAGCAGGCTAATGTTCGCATTAATGTATAGAGTTACAAGGTCTAGACGCACGCATTTGTAACTAAGCGTACGCAATCACAGAATCCCGTCCCTTTAATTGTTCGAGATTCATCACTATGTCAGTAAGCGACTCGTTAAACCTAATACGCGTTGTTTTCCCCTTCCCTCGGGGGTTAAAACGCTTATTATGAAAAACAAAGTCTATTCTTTTTTAATGTAGTCGTGTTTTTCCATCACAAGAAACATGCTCTGTGTACAGTATACTATGGAAACGGCTTGGAAGTTAGAAAGAAATGCTTGGAAGGGCACAACGGGCAATAGAAGAACAATCAAATAAAGCAAGGAACTTAGATTTAGTTTTGATTTTTTTCGCCGGGAATATGCCACAGTTTGGTGTTGAACCTATCCATACAGATTGACTTACAGCTATCGATTTCATGATTTGAGAATATTTGAACACTAAATACACCTCTTAAACGATATTATACAAATGTGATGTCACAGAGGAATATTAAGGCAAAGCAGAATTATAAAAATAGCAACAAAAAAGGTGGACCCCATCTGAAAAGTTCTGCAATGCACCTGTATTGTTGCATTCCATTCTATTTAAGGTGGTAAATTCTCTTTCGATCTTTCTGTCTTACTTTATTTATTACCTATACCAATAAATAGCTCAATAGAAGAACCAAATAACAAAGAAGACAAAATTAATCTTCCTAAGCTATTTTTTTTTTTTTAAATGTACTACCAGTTACGTTTTTACTATTATGTCTTCATTTTTCTTTTTTTAACATATTTGATTGTTTCAGTCAATGGCACCGATATGTACAAGGTGGACAATACAGCCAAGTCATATAGTGCAACAAGATAAGGACAAAAAGTGAATGTACAGCATATTGCATGCAACTACATGTAAACATAACCTAATTCTGCCTGAAAGGGAGTGGGAAGAAGATAACTTAGTCTTAGTCTTCCATCAGATCATGTAAAATTCTATATCGATACAGAGCAATATGCAGACATCACATTCCAAAAGCTATTAGAGAGCTTGTATATTAGATGGAAGGTTGAACTCACTGATGTTGTCCGCTGGCACTTTGACTATGGCCGGTTCCATGAGGTTATCGGCGAGGACAAAGGCCCCCTCCTCCAGCGTGTCCAGGAGCATGGTGGCGGCGTGGGTCTGCTCCGTGCTGTTCATGTCGTGCCAGGACTTCAGCGCTTCCGGTCGGAGGAGGTTGTCCACCGTGTCCACTATGGCCTGGGAGTAGCGAGAAAATGCAGACGCAAAATAACAGATAAAAATAAATGATGCAAACTGGTGTGGGGGAGTGGCATGCGCACAAATGAGATGAATGAGGCCGACCAATATGGAGCTGTGAAGTGGGCGGAGCTTAGGGTTTCAGAAAGTGATATTTTCATTGTAAAAACCACATGGAGAATCTAATGATGAAGTATTATCAAAGACATAACATATTTGGGGATGATGATCCACAAGATCTACAAATATATATTTTGACTATTTCCCCGTCAAGTTAAAAAAGTTTCTTGGGTGTGGGTGCTGAGGGCCACATTGGAATATCCGCTTAATGTCAGAGACAGGACCTATTTTCCAATGTTTTTCTCAGGCTTAATCTTGCCAGCCACTGAGTTTGTCTCTGTCATGTCTTGATAGTCTCCTGTTATTTGGACCTTTGGAAACTCCTGAAACTCTGCCCACTTTGCAGACCCATAGAGGTGCTGTTCTCTGTTGTAATTTTGTAAAAGAAAAAAAAAATATTTCCACCATTATTCTAGGGCCTGTACTTGAGAAAGTCACCAAGGTAAATGCAATTTTCTGTATCATTGACAAAGGCGCGATGTGAAGGAGAAATAGGTATATTGGCGTCACAGGAGATGCTGCCTCTTCACTTTCAAGGACGTTTCATCAGTGGCCACACCGCAGGGTCGCTGCGCCGAGCCAACCACAAGTCTTTTAAAACTCTAACAACTTAGAATCTCTATAACCTCTAATTATTTGCGTGGAACAGTTCAATAGCTTAATTAAACTATATCAATCAACGAAAATGGGATTCGTCTGTAACCTCAAGTCACCCCTAACCTGGCACAGACAAGTAAATTGTCTGTATCCAGACATTGCATTTTTTTTGGACCTTGTGGAAAAAAAGAAATTAAATCAATGAGTCTAATTAGAAAATCAATGTTGGTGACAGCTGGAGGGGAAGAGGAGGGGTTACGCGGGGGATGTGATGGCACATCAACTATGGCAGGTGTCAGATAGTGCTGAGTCAGATCAACTTGGCCTCCAAAGCTCACAATCACATTAAAGCTGAAGTACCTAACTTATTTTGATGTTTCATGAATAGATGTTGTTTGTCCCAACAGAAAGAGTATCATTTTGTGAACAAATCAGACCACAACATACTGAGAGTTGATGTTCCTCTTTTTATATTTTCTTGGAAATAAAACTGAAAGAAAAGATGTGGCAGATACCAAAAATACATGCATTTGAAAACTAAAATAAATTCATAGTAACTCATGACATGAAAAGGATTGTGTGACATAAGGTAGAGTTAAGATGATTTCAAAGTTTGGTGCTCTAGCTTTAAGAATGGTAAGGCTGTAATTAAATTTTTTTTGGATAATTGATTAGTTGGCCAAATGACATAGAGATGACTTAAAGGTACTTTGTAAAAACATTTCCATTTCTTTCTGTAGTCATATAGAATTATCGCAGTCAAAAAACTGCTTTCCCGCATGCTTAAGTCTTGTACAGTAAGTAGTACTTACTTACTACTAAATTAGTTAACTAATTAAAATAGTGGTTCACTTGTAATTAATTAATTAAGTTGTCATAGCCCTAAAGAAAAGCTATGCCACCAATCAGCTAAACCAAACTGCTGTGAGTATTGCGTAGATAAATGGAATGTTTTGGCGCTATCCGAGACGAGTACCTATTCTCGCTCTTTTATGGCCGTTGAGTGGCTAATTAGCTCAATCCATTTTAATGCCTTCCCAAAGGAAATGTATCTGGATTGAGGGGGATGACTTTGGTGGCAGGTGGAGGACACTGATCTCCCTAATGGTTAAAGTGATATTTATGGCTTTTGATTTGTGAATTTTGCAACAATTAAAAAAAAAAAACATCTGAAATTTGTTTGACCTTCTTTTAGCGGCGTACATCTGAAGGCTTGAATCCTAAACCGGGCGACCTGAGTGACCTGTAAAAGCTAATATGCGTCCTTGTGAAACATGAGAGTCTTTTACAACACAGTAAAGGGACTAATGCTTGTGCTCGAGTAACAGCTCAGATAAATCACCAATGCATCTGAAAACTATTTCATGGCAAAGCCTTTTATCACGATGCTTTTAATCTTGATTTTGAAGTTAAAGCTGGGGAACCAAACTTAAAAAAATATATATATATATTCATCCCAAAAGAAAGATCTACTGAATGTTTTATCTTTCACCCAGAGAGTTCTGTGAGTCCCTGTGTGGTGCATTGGCCTGAGACCTGAGCAAGAGTGGTCCTCTCTTTTTCACTTTTCTGCTTGAAAAAACACATAAAGATGTGACCAGGCCAAAGCATGAAAACTAGTGATGGAACCAAACTGTTTAGAGAGTGAGGAACTAGTTAGATGGATTTCTTTACATAGTTAAATGTGTTGTGGATTGAAATTTAGGTACCCAAGCTTTAATAATAGTGAGCCCTGAATGAGATGGAAATACGTTTTAAGTTGCACATGCAGTTCAAGTCCACGAACAAATCATATCACTAAAAAGCAATGATTATTTCAGTTGTTCAAGTCAAGAGGGAAAACAGATAAAATTATATTTTTATGACAATGGTTAATGCATTTAGTTTAAAAAATCATAATAAATAAATCCTTAAAAAGGGGTGTCCAAACATTTTTAGAAGGAGGGCCATTTTAGTAAACCAGACTTGTCCAGAGGTCAATAACATGGACTGTTCATGTTGATTCACGTCACAGCTACATTAGTGCCATACAATGGAATTTTGTGACACAAGAAAAAAACACAATAATTCTGAGCATTATACCAAGGTATATCATTACTAAATTGGTGGAACTGAAGTGGGCTGGACTGAAGGTATCTTACTGGCTAGCTTGTGTTATCAAGGCAGGGGGCCACAGAAAATCACAAAGTGGGCCACATTAGGCCCACGGGCCTTAGTTTGGACATGCCTGGCTTTAAACCATCCTGAATGCAGTCTTTGGGTCTGTAGAATATACAGTTCTTTCACTTTGAGCTGAACAGCTGAAAAGCATTTCCATAATATCCTTTTTTTACACAGCGCTTGTAAAGTAAACATTAGGAGAGAAAACACAATGTCATGAACCTGAAAATGAGGAGGAAATACACAGAAACAGTCATAAAACAGAACAAAAGCAGCGTTGTGTATTTGAATATGACTTCTCTTTGACTTCAAAATCACTTTGGAAAACTACAGTGCAATAACTATGTGTGAAGCAATTACTCAGAAAAGCAGAGGATAGGGATAGAGTGGGAGGGACATGACAGTGCACAGGGTCCATGCACAAACAGGGGAGGGGGGAGGGGGGGTGCAGGCAGAGCTGTAGCTTCAGTACCTTCATGTACGCCCTGCATGTCCTTTCACGCTTTTGAAGCTTTTTATTAGAAAGAAAGAACACAAACAGGCACATAGGGTGATTTGGAGACACTTAAAACGGCCCTGGTGTTTTATTTACCCGAAGGACATGAATGTGTTTGATAGTGACACACGCTGAACAAACCATTAAAGAAGGAATTGTGTGATCCGAATGTGATAATACGAAACATTCTGGCTCTCCTTAAACAGTGATCTCATCATGAACATTGTTTTAGTCCCTGTAATAATCAATGTCTATTATAGTTATATTGCAGCCTGGAGTTCTGAAGATATCTGGAGGTGGAAAATCACTAGAAATAGAATACAACATTATCAAGGCATAAGCAGGAAGTATGTGGGAATGCAAGCCCACTCACTATAATTTGTATTTGTATTTGTTTACACGTAGTAGATCATATACTACTCCTCTACATTCATACATTTTAACATTTTATATGACAAGAAAAAAATATCAAATAAAAAATTAGTATTTCGGAAAGAACAAGTCATCCCAACCATTGATCAACTCCCCGTTATGGACCAATACCTATGTGTGCGCTATTCTTTTGTTTGAACTTTTGGCGATTTCAACGGTTTTGTTAAGTCCTCTGAGATAACTACTGTTGTGATTTATAAGAATACATTGAATTGAATTGAATTGTCTCAACCATAATATAGTTATAGTTATCCATAGTTATTATTCAGACATTCTACTCCAATGACTATGTGCCTGTCTTAACACTCTCACGTATTCAACTGACGCACTGTATATTTGTGTAAAGACAAAAGTGTTACCTTGTTGAAACTCCTTCCCGCTGAATCCTTCTCACTTGGCCGGAGTTCTTGCAGCTGGGCGTCCAGGATGTCCACCAGCTGTTCCATCAGACGCACCGAGGAGCTGACGTCGCCCGCGTAGATGGGCCCTTTGGTGTGCTTGGCGAGCTCGTTGGCCAAGTTTGCTGCGTTCTCTCCGGTCCGGATCTGCGGGGGTTTAAACAGTGAATAATGCGCTGCAGAATGTAAGGAGACGGATCTGGAGAGCTGCTTTTCTTTTCTGACTACGTGCTGCACTTAGGCGAGTCCTTGACATAGCTCGAGCTTAAAAGAAATGAAAAAGGAAAGTGATTGAAAGGTTGACAAATGCTGTTTTATCTGATATGAAGGTTTTAAATTGTACTGTGGATTTAGAACCACAAAAGGAAGAAAGCGTGTTGAAAAATGTGTTATCTAACGACATGTGTGAGTGACGAATGTGTTTTCAAAGACTTAAGAACATACCTACATTCATGAACTATCAGTACTCTAGAATATTTTTTCCAGACAGAGCTGAAAACCTGGTATTATTATACCATCTCTCAGCCCAAAATGTCATATATTGACTCATAATGGCTCTTCCTTACAAGTTTATAGTGATTACTATGTGTTCTAATATGATCGACTTTAGTCTGTAGAGGTAAAGAAAGGGGTGAACATTAAAATGCAGTGTCATATCTTTTACATCCTGTTGAGAAAGAGCCCAGTGAGTCACTTTTTGACACTTGACATCGACCTCGGCTGAGAGTTGATTGGCTGAGTGAAGTTGGTCCTCACTGTTTCACTTTCCTGTAGTAAAATAGATTATACATAATTTTTCTAATGTGTTCTAATCCAGATCATATTTGCTTGATTAATCGATTATCAATTTAAGTTGGTAACAGCCTTAATGTTGTGAGGGCTTGACAAATCAGTCAAGAGTAGAAATGCATTATATTTATACAAGCAACTGGATCAGCACATCTGCCTCATAAACATGAATCTATTACAGATGCATTATCAGTTATAGTTTCTTATTCATTAGTGAATAAAGCACTCAATACATATCGCTGCTAACATTCTATAGCAGTACATTAGCCGAGTGGTCATAATGTTATGCTTGTGCAGTGTGCTTTGCTCTAATCTGGTTCCGAGTGTATTATGCAAAATAACATTTTAATCACCATCCAATTTGTCAAACAAAGTCACAGGAGGACACCCACTTTTAATTCACCTGCATTTGCAATTTAATCATTGAACTGAAATGTTTACATCGATCAACTTCGTATAAAACAAATCAGAAAAAATTACGCAGCGAGAGCATGTGCATACAAACCTTCTGGGCGATTTGGTTGACCCAGTGGGAGGTGCAGTTGCTGAGATCAGGGCCCCTTGGGTGCCAGGCCCCAGTGGAGAGGACACATAAATAAGACGCAGTGCCTGGCAGGGAAAAACAAGAGCCATATAATCAAACCACATCCAATTAAGTCTTTTCCCTCGCATTCTGCCTTAAAGAGCAGCAGAAAGTGCTCACAAACAAACAACCTTCACATGATCATTGCAAAAATAATTGAAGTGAAGTCACAGGCCAAATTAAAGGGGACATATGATACAAAGTTGAGATTTTTACCATCATGTTAAAATATGGTTCCCTCATCAAAAACAGGCCTTGAGTTGCTTTTAAGACCTGTCCATGCTCACAAACATGTAACGCTGCTCCTACTGTCTAAATGTCTCAGCCCTGATAAGATATGACGTCATTGTAATACGATGACATCACACTCTTCTGCCTTATTGAACAAAAGTATCAACCATGAATTTCCATCATTTACTGTAACTGTTCCAATGCCTCAAGTGAAATGGTGTTCTTTGCAATCACAAGGCTGTGTTTGCAGTTGGTAATTTCTAAATGTGTGTTTGTTTTTACCATATATTTTTAGCTGAAGATATAATTTCACGTTCCAACACAAGAAGTGACAAAGTAAACAGTAAAAATTATGCGTAATATTACATCTTTAAATCCGCGATACTCCTCAGAATCTCCCATCCGAACGTCAGCAGTGGCCCGTGCACTTATTGCAACACGAAAGCCCGTCGCTTTGTTTTCTCTGCCCTAATTATCCTCACGTCTGATGAACGTTAATACGATTTCACACACAATGAGATGAGGGATGCTCGTCTGCAGGCGGGCTCCGGGGACACGCAGCTGAGCCCGCCGTCACACGTTGCTAAATCCTGTTTTAATGTCAAATGACGCAGCAAATCCCGCCGTGATTACACCGTCTCGTTAGTCAGCAGTGGCTCAGGGTCTAAACAGTGCAAAAGAGGTCAATGCCTTTATATCATTACGCCACACCTCTGCTGGTAACGTCTTCCATTTATGACTAAATCCAGAACAAACACAGTGTATTTTTGTTTTTTTGTTTTTACCTAGCTGTTCAAAAGAATGGCATAACACTTGCTCATCTCTATGGAAACCATCATTACCTCTGCTAACGGGTAATGTAATCACCAGGGTTTGTTTATCTGTCTGTTGGTTATGGTCTGATTCAGTTGTGAACACGGCTTAAGTTAGCATGATAACTCAAAATGTTATGGGCGGGTTATTCAGTAAGACTCGGAACTGGGAGCGGATAGTAATATTTTGATTGGAAAGAATTGGACTGAGCGCCGTGGCAGGGTCTACACTCTGCACAACTTTTCTACATGATGAAATCCTATGAAAAAAAATAAAAAATGGAATAGAACGTTTAGAGTTTTTCAGAACACATACCAGTACTGAATTCTTTCTTCTTCATCATGCTAAAGTTGGAGGTTTTACGACTTCTTTCCTTATTATGTTATAGAGATTTCATACTGCTTCTTTTTGTGCTCGAGTTTATAGTTTTTGTTTTATTTTAGTATAGAGTTCTTATTAATTAATCTTCATTCCTACTGTTCTGTAACTTGTGGTACAAAACTGAAAATTCCCCGCTGTGGGACGAATAAAGGATCGCTTAATCTTAATCCTAATACATCATACAAAGCAATATTAACATGACATAATAGAACAGATATTTTTGATGAAGGAACAAAGCTCTAACGTGATTAAAAGTGCAGTTGAAATTCAGAAAAAAAAAATTGTGAATTGTGAATTTACTTTAGCAATTCATCGCAAATGTGAAACTAGTACTGTATATGACAGACTCAGACTTTATTTGGTATAGTGTTGATAATTGACTTACAGCATATAAAAACCCAAAAGTAAACATCTAAGAACATTTGAATAATTTGAATGTATCTTAACTTTCATCACTTTCATCAATATTATAGCAACGGCTTGGCATATATGTCACTTTGCTTGTAATCATATTCTAATGTCCTCTTCTCAAAATAATACATCACTGACCTAAAAATACACATTTAGCTCAGTGAGCGCACACAAAAAAATGCTTGTACAGTATTGTCCAACAGATTTTTACCGACGACATTCACTCTCCGTGGGTTTCTAAGGACACATTAAAAGCAGCACTTGCAGAAATAGGCCCTGGAGGTGCGGTTGGTAAAGAGAATCCCTGTTTACCTCTGGTTCCTTTGGGGCACGGCCGCTCCACCAGCATCCCCCGCTGGGTCTGGGGCCACACTATCTCCCGCCTCTCGGTCGCCTCGCAGAAACGCATGGGTAAAGGTAAGGACTGGGTGGTGGGTGGGGTGGTGGTTTGAGGGGGCTGTTTGGCCGCTCCTCGGTTGCCCCCCTTGAGGACGGTGACGGTGGTGTTGCCCAATGCCCTGTGCGCGGTGCTTGTTGTGGTGCTGGTGGTGGTTCTCAGGGGCACCGGTGACGTGACCGTTTCTGACATTGTGGGAGCTGCTGAAGGCGGGGGAAAAGAAAGAGAGATTATTTCAGTTTGTTTGCTGTGAGCGCTCTGGCTTTTTTCACTGCTAAAGTTGTTTATTTTATTTATTTGTTTTTTATGGACACAACAGTTATATTGGACAGACCAAAATGCACTGCCTTTAGTGTTAGCAAGACCATTCTGATTTTCAATACTTGACCGTAGGAGGCTTTTAGGACATACATGCACAAATATAAAAACAATTAAAGATGCAGTCAGTGATTTTTTTTCCAGGCGCATGTTTTTGAATATTGTGGACCGAGAAAAATAAACCAATGGGCTTTGTTCATCCCCAACGAACCAATGGGATGCGTCTACCCCCTTCACCCTCTTCCTGTTTCTCGCGAGTGCGCTCACCTGAGATATCGGATTATTTTCTAAAACCTAAAAGGGCTGGACAGAGAATGCCAATTTCACGTTTGCCACCCACTCTCCCTGTGGTTTGGTGGAGAGGCGAGGGGAGGGGGGAGTGGTTTCGAGTTGGTGCTACGGCTAAGCTAACAAAATGCAAAATGCTTACTGCATCTTTAAATGTACAAATCATTAAATATCTGAAAAACATCTTAGTCAGACGTCTGAAACCTGTGGCTGAAATCGGAGCAACGTTGTTTACATGGTTAATGAACTGTATGAGGGGCGACAGTAGCTCAGTTGGTAGAGCATTGGCCTTTGGGCCTGAAGGTCGTGGGTTCGAGCCCACCGTAAGACCTACTTCACGACTCCCACTGATGACTGCTGTCGTTGTGTCCTTGGGCAAGACACTTAACCCCACTTTGCCTGAAGCCCCCGCTGAAAGATCTCAGCTCCTGTGGACTCACCACCTGCAGGAGGATCAGTGAGGGGCTGGTGCTGAGTGTACTGGGTGCTGCTCTGACTGCCACCCCCCCGACCCAGAAATGGATTAAGGGGAAGAAAATGGATGGATGGATGGATGAACTGTATATTTCATTACTTTATTCTTAATATGTGCATTTGTGTCCTAAAAGCCTCCTATGGACAAGAGTTGATAATCAGCATGGTCTTGCTGTAACACTAAAGGCAGTACATCTGGTCTGTCCAATGTATCTGTTGTGCCAATATCAAATAGATAAATAAATACATAAAAGTTTCTCCGATTTCAGTCACAGTTTAAGACGTCTGATGAAGAAGTCTGTTTGTAGTTTTACGTCAGCGGGAAGAGCGTTCCATAGTCTGGCTCCGATAAAGGAAAAGCTTTTGAACTACACGCACTACACAATCCAACACTGACTGAGGCTCTGGGGTTATGCTCCTGTTGTGCTCAAAAGTCTACATACACTGACAGAATTTACCACAATTTACACCAAGCATCAGTGTGTAAACATAGATGCACATGAATAGTTGCTGATTGTACTGAGTCTGACGATTTACGCAATGCATTGAAATATGAGCATATAACGAGTGCTAAAATGAGGCTGGAGTTCTATATTTTATGCATCTACATCGCAAATTCTGGTTTATCACACGGGTAAGACAGGACAAAGGCGTGGAACGAGTGCCTCTAGTGACATTATACATTCCTATTGTTGTAACTTGATTTTATGTTATAGAATTTGCTTTTTATGTAACCAGGGATGGAAGATGCAAATAAGGTGTAGCTACAATGTAATAGCTATATAAGAACATTTATGTATCTGGCAAGAGCTCTGGTGTGTGCCTTCTGGTGCACAATGGGGTAGTCTTGCACAGTTTTTCCAATGTGGTTTTACTGCAAACAAATATTTTTTGTATATTTTTTGAAGTCTGTATTTGATCTTAATTTTGCTGGGTATTGTCCCTTACAAGTATAGCCTAAACTAAACTAAACTAAATTGAAGGCGTTTCACTTGCGCATCTCCTGTTAGGCCTAGGCATTGCTTGGTGTAGATTGTGGTGCTTTCTCAACCATTTTTCAGAGGTATAAACATATAAAACAAAACCTTGGATCGAGCTATTTTCATTTACAGCTGTGTTACATGTTTAGAAATCTCAATGCCAACAAAAACTAACCAAATGACCAGGATCAAAAGTATTCTTGGTGAGTATTGCAACACAAGCTGACCCAATGGCTATTATTCTTGACAAAACTTGCTTCACCTATAACCACAAACCCTGAGAGTTGGAAAACATTTCTTATTATTAATATTTACTGAAATATTGCCGTTTCAATCATAACTTCTGCCACGATTTGGAAACAAATGCAAAATCACAGGATGTATAACCTACTTTCAAACACATTCAAAGCAAAAAGGCCTGTCACAATGATCACTGTATCGACTGTTCAATAAATTACAGCTTAAACAATATAGGTCAATACCAAACACTTATATTCTTTACAATAGTATATTTCTTTACAATAGTAAGATAATCATTACAATATGTTTGTAATACTAACACAATAACATTTTGGTTGTACAATGTTTTTAAAAAGTCAAAGTCAAAAAGTTTAAAATATTGCTTAATACACAACTCTTTATATGTTTATCTGATCCTTGATTAATCATGATTTTTATTTTATTTTATTTGCTATATTGTACATAAAGAGAATAGACTTTCAATTGTTTATCACACTATCACTGTGTAGCAATATAACGGCCATCAAAACCTGTTATTGTGACAAGCCTACAGCTTTAAATACTATAAGATTTTGTTTGCAGCAATGATCAAATTAAAAAGGGACAATATTGGAATTATGCAGATTCTGGAATCAAAAGGGAATTGGTGACGCCCCACGCAAATGAATATGAGAGTAAATAGCTTTCTGGCAAATAGCCGGTATTATTAGATTAACTACACAAATAGGCAGACAATGGCAGAATTAAACCAAAGAAAACAGAACAATTTAAAATGCTGTTGAAAATGTGATCCTCATTCCTGTCGCTTCTGTGTAGGCCCAGCTCATTAGTTTTTCACCCGTTGCGCTGGCTGACATAAGTATTCAGCTCAGAGCATTTTCCTGCATTTTCAATCTTGACCTGCTGGCCGACATATGTCCACTCCAAACTTTTAACACTCCCACATGCGCCCATCACATCCAATTTATTTCCCTGGCCTTGCTTAAATATTCAAGTCTCCCGTTGTGCAAATTGCCACTAAGTACATATAGTGCCACAAACATCTTTGCTTTTTCAACAACCATTTCTCACTCAAGCCACTTTTGGTCCGGAGAAAACAAGAACGTAATTACAGAAAGATCGTCTTGCCTGGCGATCATTTCTCATTGGGCATTTGAGGTATGGCTGATTGCGTTTGACTGGTGCAACACTAAACTTGCGACCATTTCACAGTTGCTTGAGTTGATTTCCTACCAGCGCAACAGAGAGACTGATAAAACAGGTGTGCACTAACTCATGCGGTGCCGCGGGCTAAGGACATTATGTCTGCGAGAAAATAGTGCGCTCCGTACAAAAATCTATAACGCAATTTTTCATGTGGCGACTGCATGTGCGGCAGAAGGGTAAAGAGGTAAGCGGTAATTACAGAGTACAAAGGGTGATGTCACATTATAACGTGTTAAAGGAGTATCATGGTCTCTTCGTGAATATAACTATAAATGCTGTGCTTTAAATGTTCTTTATAGTCACAAGAGCAGATCGTGTAAAGCCAAGGACCTCTTTACACGTAACATTGTAAGGAGATTGATGTGAAGCTGGATTTGAAAAGAAAAGAAATAAATACGTATAATTTGAAATAAATTATATATGTGATTTTTACTGAAACTTAAAGCTGGGGTACTTAAAGAGGCCGGGAAAATGGCGCCGTGGAAAAAACTTTGGTGTGCAATGTCTGGTGTAGACTGGTTTATGGTTACAACATGCAGTAATTTATTTGCCTTTTGCATTAAAACCACATTGGAAAAACTGTGCAAGACTACCCCTTTAAATCCCAAAAACATTATTTTTTTTTATTTTTTTTGGATTAACAAGTAAAAAATGGTGATACATCTTTTTGCAGCCGAACACCCGCCTCATTTTGGCTTGTGCACAAAAGTTTGGCATACCCAAATGTCTTTGCTTATTTAAAAACACATCTTACATCTCACATGCTTGTGTGATGCATCATTTTAAAGCTAGAGCCTTCTAGTTTATGTAAAAAAAACACTAAAATAATGTTTGTCATTCCTATTTTCCTCTGCATCCTTTGAAGTTAGGGAAAAAAAACCCAATTTTTTTAGCCTCGCCTAACATTTTCAATTTCTAAAGGCCCTAAAAAAGGCATACTTCATTGTAAGTTCACAATATTCAACCCCTCTGTTCATTGTGTTGTTGACAACAACTGTCTAAAGTTTCAGACTTCTAAGTTTTATAGTTTTTATGCAGTTTCTCCTTTTCATCAAGAAGTGCACATTTGGCACAATTTGGCACAAGTGTGCCAAATTGTGCCAAATATCTTTACTTACATTTAATCATCATAAAAACAATATTTTTTATTATTGGTACTTATAAGTTACTAATCTATGTGTGTTTTTCTTTTTTAAATGTCAAAGTTATTTTTTTATGAGTGTAAATTCATTGCAGCTTCGAGAGCGTCTTTTGGCTTCCATTACGCACAATTGTCCAGGCCCAACATAAGACAGGACACCATTGTCCCACCCCTTGTTCGAAAGCTTTCCTCATTGGCTACAAGGACATGTCAATCGTAAATCCCGGAAGTAAAAGCAAACAAGTTGGGATCACAACAAAGATCAGTGATCAATGCGCAAACAGCAGCACTAGCTGTACTCGCGGGAGCTCTTGCAGACTCAAAAATTGGTCTAGCTTTTCGGGAGTAGTCTCATTTGAAAGATAAGGAGCTAAGGAACACGTAGATACCAGATGTTTGGGTGAAAAACAAAGCTAAAAGTCCGTTAAAAGTGAAAGAGTACCATCTGTGCTCTTTTTTTTTGTTTTTTTTGCTAAAGATAAATGCACATTTTTGGATTATTTTTGCAGAATGGATTTTACTTTGGGAAATACAAGTGGATATAATTTTCCTTTGG